TATCTAAATGTATGATTCATTAAAAAAATTAATAATAATAACAATAACAAAATACTCTAAATACCAAATGAATAGGTAATTGGCTTGCATTAATTCGAAACACGCAATTTCTGTAATAATATTGTTCACATTGTGTATTAAAAATAAAAATGTCATCACTTTAGAGAGTGGACAAAGTGTATAAGGCGGTACGTCGTGAGGATAGAACGTACAGGAAATTGCACAAGGCTCCGATTAACGTTTTCAAATATGCAATATTAGGACGGGTTAACAGAGAAACATTAAGATATTACCTATATAAATACGGGGACTATAAATTATCTCAACAAGATGTGGATAAAATTACACAATACTTGCCAGTGTGTAAGTTGAATAATAACAATTCAGTAATAGAAATTAAAAATATATCTGTGAAATGTGAATATATAATAATCATTAGTAAGTAATAATCATAATTAATGTAGAGTGTTTTTTTACAACATTTCTGACGAGTACTTTTAATGTTGAAAAACTATAAAAATGTACAACGCCTTCGTTTTCTAAAAAATGTCATAGAAAACAATTTTATAACGGTTAGACAAATTTTAATTAATACTGAAATATTAATTTCATATAGTCTTCGTGACAAGATATTAGATTTTTTGAAAACTAAACAAGCGGACAAAAAAAAAAAATAGTTTTTAGATGGCTTTTGGTAATATCCGTTATAGCCAAATATTGTACATAAAAACGTCAGATAGTTACAACATAAATTACTTTGGTCAATTTTAATGTGAATAATTTTATAATGATTTCTAGTGGCTCCTATAACAAAAGAGCAGCTAAAAGGTTTTATACAAAAGTATCATAATAACCGATGGGCCATCCAATAAATTTGCTGCCTCTAGGCAAGTAATATTTTAACCCTTTTAACAGTACATAGTATGTACTGGTACATGTATTATTATCGCATTGTAAATTTATTTCTATATCAATATTTCAGGGCTACAAAATTACAACAACATCCTATCGTCGATCACTTTAGTAAAAAAAAAGTCAAAATATTTAAAGTATTTAATTTATATGTACAAAAAAAAAAAAAATCAAGATTTTATGCTGTTGTTAGCCTATTTACAAATTGTATGTATTAAATCTTAAAAATTCTAAAGATTGTGTGGATTATTTTTGTTTAAATTTATTATTGTATTAAATGTGTGATTTGTAAGTGTAGTATTTAATCAGAACTTCATAAAAATGTTAAATATATCGTTTTCTGATGAATAAAATTATAAATTCACCTTAGCTGCCGAGACTTTGTTTTTGATAATAATAAATATATATAAATGATAATAGTATTTGAGCTAAGATCGGATATAATCGGAAAAATTCAACTCCTTCCTTGAAGCTGGATTAGTCCAGAAGATAGGCCTATATCTAAATCTATGGTCAACATTTTTTTTGTAATGAAAACACCTAAACTGTGACTTCAACACTATAAAGCTAGATAATTGTATCTTCTAACTTTAAACATTTGTGATGCTAACAGTATTCTGTCTTATATTATTTTTATTAAAACTCCTCCTGGGATTTATAATAACTAACACTTAACTATATTTAATGTTTTTTTTATGATTTACCTTGTACTAGATGCCTCTTGTAGATATAAAATTGTAGCACATAAGCAGAAAAAAATATTGCTCTTGTATTGTTCAAATATTAACATGTTTTCATATAAAACGAAAAAACATGAAGGCGACCTAAATACGAATTTATCGGTTTGACAAATATTAGGTTACTATACATCTATAATGTACATGTGTAATGACTCTAATCAGTATTTCAATTTAATCAGTTTTTACATGTATTCAACAAACATTTAGTTCTTTCAATATGAGTCGAATCTTCTGTTCACACAAAAGCTAACGACACATTTTATTACATTTGTTGGAACTCTTTTTTGTAGGGTGACCATTAAGAAATACTAGACCGAAGCGTTTGTTTGAAATAAATTTAATCATTTTCATTCACTTGGAGTGTAATTCTTGTAGACCTGTGAACTCCCAGTCCCTGCAATGCCGCGACCCCACTATGTGCCCTGACTCCTCTGTACTAGTTTTTTTTTTTTGTATATTCTAGGTGTGAATCATAAAAACACAATTTGTTTTTTTATAATAGCTTATCAGTTAGTTTAAAAGATTTATACTTTCTAAAGTAAAATATTTAGTTGTTATTTTTTTTTTATACTACATACTAGACCGTAGCCGTTTGGAACATGTTATTGCAATTGGGTCACATCGCAGATGTTCTTTTAGTATTTATTTTCAAATATTAGTCCTGAACTACGTATAGTTAATCGAAAAAAATAAAAACACTACCTATATAAGAGTTATAATAAATAATAGTAATAATATTCCACAACAAAAACCAAACCTTGACCAAAAGTTCCAGACCGTTTCCCAAACAAGTCAGCCTATTAAAATAGTAGTGACATCTACATTGTAAACTCTTCCTTTAGTCCATAACCATACTTCACTCCTACTTTCATGAACAACGCTGCTCTTTAATTTTTATTACATAACACTTGGCCAGTTTCTGCATATAACACATGTTTTTTTACCTACGTATATGTATTGTATACATTTTTTCGGAGAATTATATTGTTGCTTAGTGTAATAAAGAGTTAGCAAACACAATAATGTAGGTTAACAAATCAAAGTTAACGGTTGAATATCCAGGCGATTTTTTTGATTGAGAATTTTAATTAAAAAAAAAAAATGTCGACCATAGATTTAGATATAGGCCTATTTTCAGATTAATTACAATCTTAGTGTACAAAATAGTTATTTGCTATAATTATTGAAACATCGGAGTTCCCAGGCTAGACAAGAAAAAAGGTCAAACATTCGAATAGGTACCTACACAAAAAAACAAAACAAAATAAGCTAAAAAAACACTTGATTTTAATAAACGAGCCGTAATATTTTGTATGGTATTATTTGTAAATGTAGCTATTTACAGACATATTATTGTAAAACAAGCAAAGCGCATAACACTTGTATACAATTCCTGTAATTTGTAATATTGCATACGTTTTTATTATAAAATTAAAATATGCTAACAAACTTAAGTGTTAAATGTTTAATTGATAAACAACATCCTTGCTCAAAAAAACATTAACCACATTAACCTATTAAAATACATGGAAAACGCAGAGCTTATGCACTCACAAATGTATTATTGAAATTGTGCCTATGAATATTATACAGGAGCCGTCTGTATAAAGACAGTTAGGATGAACAAGTCATATAAAACCCTTCATACTTCTTTTTTTACAAAATATGTTAGAAAACAATATGTTTACAACGGTCAGATTAATAAATATTGTACATAAAAACGCACTAATAGTAATTACAACCAGTCAATTCGTTACAACACAATGCATTTTTTAATACGCTTTAAATGGTGAACGCTGGTCACCTAAGAGAAAACTCTAATATCTTACTAATTATAATTCCAAAGTACAACATATTTGAGTTTGAGATTTTTTAAATAGTTTTTTATGACCTTTATATTTTTAAAAGAAATTTTAAATGGCCGATATTACCCGAACTGTGGGGTAATACTGTTAATGTTTGAAATACAATATTTTTTTTTTAATCATCGTATGTATTTTTTTTTAATTGCATTTTGTTCTCAAAATTTTTCAAAATTAATAAATCATTTTATAGCAGGAATAACAAATGAAAAAAACATGTATACTTTTAAACTTGAATTTTTATCAGCGGTCAACCGGTCACATATATATTACCCCATCAGTTTTGACCGGTATTGGCCGACTATAATAATTAATGTTTTTATTTTATTGTATCTCAAAAAATAGTTCAACCAAGAGTTTTTATCACTGCGAGCATCGTACAAATAAACACTTACCATAAAAAATTGGAAGTAATTTTAAAAAAAGTGTCTCCAGACACAAAAAAAAAACGTCATTGTAAAAAAAATATACCTTCTCGGCTAAAACATTATGTGAAACGGTTTGAACGGCTGATGTGTAATTAAAAAAAACTACACTCGATGCATTAAATACAAAATATACAATTTCAAAGAACATTATAAAACTTTTACCTACTAATTTTTTTTAATACAAAAATTGGCCAAAATTCTACAAAATTAACCAAATTACATTTGATATAATTTTACTGTTTTATTATCGCGTTGTAAACTTATTTTCATATCAATATTTCTGGACCAAAAAAATTACTTCAACATCCTACCGTCGTTCGCTACACTCAAAATGCCATAATATATTTAGTATTTAATATATGTTTAAAAAAAAAAAAAAAATGTCAAGGTAGTATGCTGTAAACCTAGATTTTAAATTTGATGTATTATTTCTTAAAACTATAATGGGTGTGCAGGTTACTTTTGGTTTAATCGATTACTATTTACTGTACTATTTGGGTATTTGTAAATGTTATATTAAAACATTAAAACTTCAAAAAAAAATGTTAAATAACTCGTTTTTTTGTCGATTAAAAATATTTACTATCATTTAGCTGTCTAAATGATATTTTAAATCTTACCAGTAGAAATAAATAAGAAAACTTGATGGTTGGCTGTAAAATGGGATACACGCTGACAACATAATACGTTGTTCGCACAATAAGTAATTATATCTTCAATATTCAACTTCATCGGTAAAATACATTTGTTAAAACATAAACAACTCGTTTTCTGGTGGTTAAAATGATCAGTTTTGGTGTCGCGTCTTTGTTTTTGATAATAATAAAAAAATATACACATAAATAAAGATAATAAGCTTCCACGCATAGCTGAGAAAAGTTTTAAAATTTGTTATTCTTAACAACATAAAAACTATATTATATATATATATATCTTAACTCAAAACACATCAACACGTATTTACTTCTTTTTTGTTTTATTGTAATTTTTTAAATCTTACTTGAATATTTAGTTAGGTCGTACAGGTCTTGGGGAATTTTCCAAGGTGAGTGGTTGAGTTCTGCGGACGCTGTTCAAAATAAACCAGTCGCCAGAACGTGATACGATAATTTATGTCTCTTCCATATTCATTTTCAACAGCATCTGTAAATAGAATGTTTAAAGTCAGTCAACAAATTTTTTTTAAATTGAACATCATATCAATCAACGCTATGATTTTTTGTGATAAAATTCAATGGTAAAAATCAATTGGAAAATATTGTATAGTGTTTTTTTTTATTTTCAAATAGCATCGCAGCAAACATTAATAATTTTTATTACTATTAATATTAAGGAGATAGTTAACAGATCAAACATATAAAGGTAGTATTATTATTTTGAGCAAATTTTCTTGAGTTAAATATAGGTAACTGACATGAACAATAATAAAAAACCTTAAGTATTTAGTAATAATATTAAACAACAATGAATATAATCTTATAGACTGTATTATTGAATCATTTTTTCAAGTAGGTACCTAACAGTTTTTTTCTTTATTTCTTAAGTAATACTGTGGAATTATATTTTTCAAAACATCATCAAAGCCATTAAATCGGCTAAATTTTCGTGCAAATTTTGTAGGCAAGTATTTTTGAAATAAATATGTGTTATGTCTGGGGTCAAAAAAAAATTTGTCTAACGTAAAAGATGCAACGTTTTTTAGTGCACTTCCCGTGGTGCTAGAAATTTGATATTTGAACCATAGCTCTCTTATAAAGGTCTCGTGCAAAATATGAATTAAGGAGTTAAATTTCATCCCCATTCATCCCTTTCAATAAATTTTAATCTGTTGTTTCTCTAGCAACGTATTATTTAGCGAGGTGAAAACTAACGAGTGACATGTTTCCAAATACACACTCGAACATTTCCATGTTGAACATTTACAAACAAAATTATACTTAGTATTTTTCTTATCATAAACCATTACTTACAATTACTTGTTGATATAAATAAATAAACCCCATGATCAGGACAGTAATACGTTTTATGGCCTGCCATAAGACATATTAATGATCTTATGTTTATCCCAGAAGGGAAAGATTCGATTCGATATTTGTTGTATCTTCCATATGGTATCACCAGTACAATTCCAAACTACTGTTCAATGATATTATGTTTAAACTTTGCTTCGTTCGTTTTAAAAAACTACAGAAGAAATAAAATCAAGCATTGCTAACTTAACTTAGGTAAGTCTACCGGTGTCTTCATATGAAATAAACCTAATATTAAATAATATTAATATTATTATTATTATAGAGGTAAATTGAGAAAAATCGATTTTTTACATAATGTTTGGAGTGGCGAGAAGATAAATTTACATTATAAGACGGTTTTGTTGACAAATAGTAGGTACATTTTTTGTGTTTGTCAAACGGCAAAACAACAATTGTTGTTTTATGATTGACAGCCACAATTATTATTTATTTTAAATTCAGTATACATTTTCAACGTACTTATATTGAAACAACAAAATATATATGTTTATTGAATTTTACACTGGAATCGCTATAACAGAAGCTACCAAAAAGAACAAGAATCATTAAAGTTTTAAATTCCTGCAAAGCTTCAAGACGTGTCTAACGTGTTCCGATCATAATGCATTTTAAATATGCTGGTATATTCTTTTTATACTTTTTTTATTATTATCAACTAGCAAACGCAACAGATCAACCAAAGGAAGTATTTGATTATGAGGTAATTAAATTATTATTGATCTCATATCTAAACGTATGATTCATTAAAAAAAAAAAATAATAATAATAATAATAAGTAAATATTCTATACGCCTAATGAATAATACACTAGTAATAATTCGAAGCACATAATTTCTGTAATAATAGTGTTCACATTGTGTGTTAAAAATACAAATTTAATGATTTTAGAATGTTGGTATAATGTATGATGAGGTACTTCTTGCGGATCAAGAGGACAGATTACACAGTTCCAAGTTTTCTGAGTTTTTGCTGAAACATTTTAAATTTTTGAATAGAGGAAAAGTTACCAGAGATGGAATAAGACGATACTTATATGACAACATAAAATATGAATTAAATGACTACCAAGTGGATGACCTTACAGCACACTTGCCGGCGAGTACGTTAAATAATAATAATTCAGTAATACAAATTATTAAATATATATACGTGAAATGTGAATAACTAATAATCATTTGTAAGTAATAATCATAATTGATATTTTACATAAACTATTATTCATAACAAGAGTGATTTTTTTACAAAGTTACTGATGTGTACTTATAATTTTATGCAGAAGTCGTCTGTAAAGGTATTTAGCAGGAAAAGTTATAAAATATGAAACATCTTCGTTTTCTAAAAAATAATATCATAGAAAACAATTTTATAACTGTTAGACTAATTGTATATAATACTGAAATATTCATATTATTACGTACCCCGTGACAAAATTGTAGATTGTTTAAAAACTAAACAAGCGGACAAACGAAATTAGCCAAATGTTGTACATAAAAACGCAGTTATAATAATTGCAACCAGTCAACAAGTTACAACATAATATACCTATTTTGGTTAATTTTAATGTGAATACTTGTATAATGATTTCTAGAGGGCCATATATCAAAAGACGATTTAAGAGATTTGTTTCTTGTTTAATATGGACGCTACAACACCAGCAGGCGGTGGATTTAAAAATTTACCGCCTCTAGGCAAGTATGATATTCATCACCCTTTTACCAGTAGATTTTTCGTTTCTTTATAACATATAGTTTAGTTTTTAGTTAAAAAAAAAACAATACATTATTCAAAGAATATACCATACACAAATTTGGAACTTAGTTTAAAAAAGTCATAGCGCGTCACACAAAAAAAATATTACTCATTATTGTGAAAACAGTACGGCCTCTCGGCTAAATCATTTTGTAGAACAGTATATACAGCTGGTGTGTATTCAACAAAAAAAATATTGGCCGCGTTGAATAGGAATATAATTTCAAGGAGTGTCATAACATTTTTACCTACTAAACTACTAAGGAAAATAAAAGATTTAAAAAAGATCACCACTTTATCACCATCTCTTAAGATCACTTTCTCTTTAAATTTGAAAAACAAAACATTGCATATTTATCAACTTAAAAAAGTGGCATCCAATATGATACATTGAAAACAAGTCGAGCTACTACCAAATGTTTATGGAAGAATCTTTAAGCTCTATAGCTGAACGCTGAACTAATACTATATCGATAGGTACGCATTGACAAATCAAACACAAATCGAAAACCAATCCGCCCAGGAAGAGTAAACTTGTTTTTTATTTATTTAACCTTTCTTGATTCGTGGCAGAATACTGAAAATTCTACTTTAGGTAGCCTAGAGTGGGGTTATAAATTCCAAAGGGGAAAGGTAAAAAAATGTCCTTTGATCGTGGTGAATTTTATTTGTTGTCTTGTTATAGTAGATGCTTAGCTGTTATACCTAACAGTTAGAATGCCGACTTCCCTAAACGATGGATATTACATTTTATAACATTTTTTTCATACTATATTAATATGATCGCGTTGTAAATTTATTTTTATAACAATATTTTAGGGCCACAAAATTATTTCAACATCCTACCGTCGGTGAATATACTCAAAAAGCCATATTATTTATAACATTTAATTTATGTTTTAAAAAAAAAAAAAAATGTCAAGGTAGTATCCTGTAAACTATTAAGTTATTTAATTTGATGTATTAATTATTAAAGCTATAATGGGCGTGTGGGTTACTTTTGTTTTATCGACTTATGTATTATTTGTGTGACTTGTAAATGTTATACTAAAACATTAAAACTTCAAAAAAAAAAAAAGTTAAATAACTTGTTTTTCTTTTTTGCTGATTAAAAATATTAATTATCCTTAGCTGCCAAGTTTTTGTTTTTGACAATAATACAAAAATACAGTATGTAGTTTTAATGTAGAGCCGAGAATAGCGTTAAAAGCAAATAATATAAATTCTTCAAGACATAAGAGCCGAAAATTAGACTGGAGATAATAGATCTAATCTGTATATACTATAACTAATGACTATATAATCAATACCGTCTATTAAACTATCAATACCGATGGAGCTCTGATAAAGACACCTTAGTTTTTTCAGCCGCTTCCCTAAGACGCCTTAAAGCTCTCGGACAACTCATAATATCTTTTTTGTATTTTCGTTTAAACTCACTAGCTAAATATGTTACTAATCTTTTGTCAAAATCTTCAACTCCTAAATGGTTATCGCCTGCAATAGCTTTCACTCTGTAGACATTATTTTTTTTTCTTTTTGTAAAATAGATACATCAAATGTACCACCGCCCAAGTCGAATACTAATATAATTTGTTCATAATTAGCTTCCACACATAGCTGAGAAAAGTATTAAAATTTGTTATTCTTAACAACATAAAAACTATATTACATATATATCTTAACTCGAAACACATCAACACGTATTTACTTCTTTTTTGTTTTATTTCATACAAACCACTCAAATTACCGAAAACAAATTAAGTTAATAATTTCATTATTTAACAAACGTCAATATATAATGGTTGAACTTAATATTTCAACTTGTTATTCGGTCAAGTATAATAAAAACTACTTATGTTAGGTACCTTTAAGTCGAATACTAATATAATTTGTTCATCCTCTATTTTATTGTCCTCACCATAAGCCAGAGCAGCAGCTGTAGGCTCGACTAATAAAAACCGTGATTACTGCGTCTGTTACATCCTCGCCCAAACATTCTTCAGCGGTGTTTTTCAAATGCGCCAAAACCATTGAACCGATTTCCTCAGGGGTCAGTTCCTTCTGTTTACCCATGAACTCGACTTGAATTTGTGGTTTTCCACTATCGTCGACCACTTTGAACGGCCAGCGTTTCATGTCCTCTTGTATCTTCTCATCGTCAAAACTACTGCCTATCATTCTCTTGGCGTCGAAAACGGTGTTTTTAATATTGATAACAGCCTTATTTTTGGCCACTTTGCCTACCAACCGTTGAGTTTCTGTAAAAGAAACATAACTAGGCGTTGTCCTGTTACCGTACTCGTACCTCTACCTTGCCGTTTCGCCATACACTCACGCAGGAGTAGGTCGTTCCCAAGTCGATGCCCATCGCCGTTTTCCCTACCATATTTGTTCGAAGTCCACATAAACATATATTATGAGTATATAAAAAAAAATGTACAGTTAACTTAGTTAAATTATAGCATATTTTATGTAGTGCCGTTAACATTGTAAATAAGTAAGAATAAGATAACAATATAAACTAAGTGACGGACGGTAGGCATTATCAGATATCAAATTCATTTAATCTGCGATTTTACAATAGACCTATAAATAGATTAACTGCACATGTGTACCTTGATCTTTCCCAATAAAAATAATTAATATTATGAAATAGGTATACACATTTTATTTAGGGTGCCTTAACATCAACAAATTAATAAATTAATAATCATAATCGATAAATTATAATTATTTATTAACATTTTTTTGGTGGTCTAATTTACATCATAGGCGTGCGCAGACTTCTGAGTCAGGTATGGCTAAATTAAATCTGTCTACCCAATCTTTCTTGGTTCATTGTGGATCGCAGTTTGGTTTTAATAACACTGCTGAGTTTAGCAAATGTCCGTTCACAGCCACAGCTTGTAACAGGAATAGTAACGAATGACTTAAGAACAATTAAAACATTTTTAAAAATAGTTGATCGATCTCTCTCATTGACAGTTGACTATTGATAATTTTGAAGATTAAAATTTTAAAATTATTATTTTAACCATATACAAAAACCATTGTACTTATACATTTATATAGTTATTTTCTATTTATAAAAGGCTATACCTACTTTTAGTCATAACTTCATAAGGTACCAAGTACCCACCCACGTATAAAAAAAGGCTCAGGTGGGGCTAAAGCCCAATCAGCCCTACCCGTGCGCACGCCTATGATTTACATAATATATTGTATTTTATTTGATTATACATAAAATTAATATTCCAATGATTGTAGTTGTCATCAGACCTTATTTGATATGTTTTAACTTTTATACATTTTATATGATAAAATTATATTGTCATGCTTACCAAGGGGGTCTAAAAAAATGTTTTTTTAGAAGGTTTGTTCTGAACCCCTCTTTAATTAATCTTAATAGTATAAAAGTAATAGTTTTCAAAAAAAAATTGTTTAGACCACCCTTATGTTTAAAGAAACCTAAATTTAAATACAATACAATTGTAAATACAACCTAAATTTTATAACTAACATATCAATATTTATCAGTGTAATGTAATTGTTTTTAAATCTTACTTGAATATTTATTTGGGTCGTACAGGTCTTGGGGAATTTTCCAAGGTGAGTGGTTGAGTTGGGCAGACGCCGTTTAAAATTAATCAGTCGCCAGAACGTAATGCGATAATTGTCTCGTCCGTCTAAATCTTTAACAGCATCTGTAAAAAAAAAAATGTTTTAAGTTGTCAACAATTTTTTTTAATATTTTACATCATATCCAACAACACTACGAGTTTTGGTGATAAAATTCAATGGAAAAAAATCAATTGATAATTTTTGTATAATGTATTATATTTTCAAACAACATCGCAGCAAACATTAATAATTTTTATTACAACAAATATTAAGGAAATAGTAAATATTTCAAACTTTAAAAGTTAGTACTATTATTTTGAGTTATAAGTAACTGGCACGCACAATAATAAAAAATAAAAAGTAATTATATTAAAGGATGAGTATAGTAAGTTTTCGTTAGATAAAAAATAGTACATAATAATTGATTAAGTTTGTACAATAAATAAATTCTAGTTATAAATATTCCATTTTACTTATTGAAAAATACATAGTATTTGAAAAAAAAAAAAAATTAAATTATTAGTCTTACAAATATCTTTTTTGATATTTATCATTTAGATAAATTGATGTCTTTAACAACAGTCTTATATATTAAAAGTTTAACTATTGAAGTTAATGATAATATTTAAAACGGTAAGTTTGAGGTCTCTAACGTTTAATTTATCATATTAATATCTCTTTATTGATTATTATTCTAATTAGTTATTGAAAATTTAATCCGACCAGTCCGTGTCTTTAAAATGTATACATAACAGATGAAGGTACTTATTGACAAAATCCGTAAATTATGGCCACTCTGTGGTAAAATTCGGATAAGGTGCGTTTCAAAATAGGTCTCGTGGCCGACGCTGTTAATATTCTGACGCCGTTGAACAATACAGGTAGTAATATTCTAAACGAGTCATCGTCCAATTGCGACACTATATCAAACACCGAAATCAACATCTCGGACCACACAGACTCGTGTACTTCGCTGTCCTAAATTAAAAATTAAAAAACCAACATAATTATTAAAACGATACGTGTACATTTTTTTACAAAATCATCAATACATTTTTTTTAGACATTTCGGTTCAAACGAAATAATTTGTTTAGCGTCAATACAATTTTTTCCAACTCACTTTACTTATACTAGTCTGCCTTTGTTCTTCCACTTCTGGTGGTAAACTGTCTTCGCTTTTTTCTACTACGTCAGGCTGGCCGGGCATGGATTTTGCATTTTTTCTCTTTTTATATTCTTCGATTAGGTTATCTAAATTTTTGCAACTAGCCAACGAGTACACGGCGTCGTCTTCATCGCTTTCGCTGTCTTCAGTTTTAGCTGTTAACGGAGCGTTCGGATAAATTTTCTTGAAGTCTTCAAATTTGAAACCCGCTGCATTGCCGTTAGTTTCGAATAAGTCATCGTTTTGCGCCACAAAAAAGAACACTGGCTTGTCCCCGGCTCTGTCGACGGCACAGTGTGTGCCGTTTTTGTCCATCACTATCTCAACGTATTTCTCACAGGCGTCATCGAATATACGTTTCAGATCGAGGACAAACCGATCCGTGTTGTTTGCCGGCGTATTCGCATCGACAATACATTTTATTTGATCCGAACTCATCGAACGAGTTTTGTGAATACAAATTTCAAAAAGAGCGACTAACGACAATGTCCACGCTCCTCCGGCCTGTTTGTACAGGTTGGCTGCTTTTTCTAGGCCGGCCACTTTTTGAATGAGGAATTTAAGACCCGGCCTGGAATCGAATTCCCACGATATACCATACGTCATGTCCAGACACGAAATAAACGTGCGGACCTGCAATTCGGTCAATACTGATAAATAGCCGGGCATATCCGAACGATCCAAACATTTAGACACTTTATCGTCCATCGGTGTCATCAGGGACGATTGTAAGAGAATGTTTGCCAGACTAAATTTAGGACAAAAAAAAAGAATAAATACAATATTGGTTCGTTTTTTTTTTTTGTCGTAAAAATGTAAAATAAAATACCTCGGAATAGCTTTATCGGTGCCCTTGATCAATACGTTTCCTATTAACTGCAACAACATTTCGTTTACGAACAACCCGAAAACTATATTTTTGTACGGCACACGTTCGGGCACTTTTTGCCACTGATTGTCCAGGTCGTCATCGCACCAATGGTGGCACAGTAAAAATATGAAACTCCTTTCGTCGTCGACAATCGTATCGGTGGTTTTCATCCTCTGATGGTCTAGCAGAAACACCTAAAACGTTAACAGAAAAAAAAAACACATTAAAACTGAAGAGCTTTAACTAAAAAGCGCTTCAACACATACTTGTTGCGATAGATGCTTTAAGTGTAAGTTTTCGTCGATCGTGCTGTCTCGTCTGGCGGCCACTTTAATTCCGGCTGCCAAGTCGCCGTAAAAACTATCGGAGAACGGTCTGTACGTCATCGATACTCGAGTTAGAGGATACAAAGATAGGGCACACGCCCTGTGCAAACCACAGCTGATCAAGTCCCATTGGCTTTCTGTGAAATATTCACCAGCGCCAAAGACAAAATGTCTTAAACACGCACAGCCCAATCGCACGACGCACTCGACGGCTTGTACGCAAAATTCGTTCAACACAAACAATAACTGTTTGATCACGAGCGTGACTTCTTTTTCGAATTTCGGATCATAGTTTTTCTCCATTCTGAGGTACGTCACAATCAAGTCTGTCGAGTTGCCGCACAGCTGTTTGAAATTGAGTATGTCGTTGAAGTTTTGAGTCGATACGATTTTACGCGACCATGTTTGAATAGTTGGCAGTAGTAATCGATTGATGCAAAAACAACCGAACGTAAAACCTGGAATTATTTACAAATACAGTGATGCAAACTATTATTGTAAATATTGAAATTAAATGTCAACATACCAGGCAGCTCGGGAAGCAACTTGAGCATGTCGAGGAGCAATTCGAGACTTTGCCGCTGGTATATACCGGTCGTACCCATGACTGCAGTGCACAGTCCTTCGACAATACAATACCACACTCTTAATAAACCGCAGGGCTGATCGATTTCTTCCAAAAGCATTGGTGCTTCGTTTGGATCGTTAAAGGATAACTGTTTGTAACCACTGTCAATGCAATTAATCTCGGCAACGTCAGTGTCCGCTAAAGTGAAAACGTGGTTTCTAAATAAAATAAAAAAAACCTTGTTAAGATTATGTTTTTTCTTTGACTACAGACACACGGCTTACCGATTGGGTACATGAAATGCCGGACAAGCGGGCATTACGTACATCGACTTCAATATTAAACTGCAGTGTCGCAAATGACTGAGTGCGGCTTTACACAACTCTAGTTTTCTTTCACCGTCGGACTTATCAAAATCTATGAAATAAATATTATTAAATTATACAATGAAGGTTTTCTAAAAATACGAACATTTATTTATCCACAATAACTCACTGTTTCCCTGAACGTGTTTGACGAGACAAGCGATACAGTCGACTGCTGCATTGGAAAAAGCTAATGTATCGTCAGTGTCGAGGAAGACTCGAAATACTTCTAAAAGCGACGACAAATGACTGCTGTTGACTACTTTTAACGCGCCGAAAAGAGGTCTCCATCCCGATCGAATATCGGAACGGTTACCTTCGACAAACTCACACAAGCTGCTGACGATCTAGAGACGAGGGAAAACCGTACTATTATATTTGCCATTTTGACAGTTTTTCAACACGCTAACCTGATCTTGGATTTCGACGTCGCACAGTTCCAAACATAAAAGATTTTCAAAAGGTTTGAACAGCAGTTCGTTGATGTGGAAATGAGGCAGCTCCGGTTGATCGTTGAGGAAAGACAAAACCGTATCGTGAATAGAGTCTATCGCTTGTTTGGACAACAATAAATCTTTATGACACGAGACCTAAATATATGAAGAAAAAAAATTAAAATTAAATCAATCATTCGGACTTAAAAAAATTTAAACAAGACAACTGTATACATAATGGTATTACACTAACTTCCATAAAACACGGCGACACGACCGACCAAACTTTTATCATGTGGAACAACGGACGGCCGCTTTTGATGCATCTCAACATCAGTCGAGATAACCGCGACAAAAGCGTGGCGTTATTGTCGTTAGGTTTTGGACTTTTCAGATCGGACGTTTTGAACAATTCGTGTCGAACGGTCTGACTTAAACTACGCACAAATTCGATTAACGCCGTCAGGTTCAACTTTAAAGCAGCGTCTTCGAAAAGTCTAAAAACATAAATATGTTGGTATGAATACAAATCATCAAAGCATATTAAATGCGAATACCGACCGGTCTACATATTGGGACAGAACACAAACGACCCGGGCCGCGTATTCTTGGCTAAGTACTCCGTTGGTGTCAACATCGGCCCTGCTTTTGTTCACCAGAGAAGCGATGGACTCGGTCATATTCGTAGGAGAAGTCGGCGACGATAGAAAACTATAAACGTCCATGCTGAAACAACAAACAAAATGTTTACGATCAATTACCAACTTTAATTTATGTATAAATTATTGACGTTGAATTATTTATTCAATTAAAAGTTGATTTATTAAGTAAAACCTACTTTGGAATTAAATACTTAAAAAAATAACCTTAATACAAATTTGGATTAAGTGAAAATTGTAAATATTTTTGTGTGCCTATTTTCTGCTAATATATCCAATTAAGTTGTTTCTTTAGTGTGAGATAAATTAAAAAAAAACTTTTTACACATATATTTAGCTTTTAAAAGTGTACCTACAGTAATAGTATAACTGTAAATTTAATTTCTAAGATTATTTTAATTTTCTTAACTTAAATAATTTTTAGTTGTACTTGTTTGTTAAAAAACGTCTATGAAATCGCTTCTTTAATTAGGTAAAAATAATTAAATTATAAATGTTTATAGTTAAAAGAAATACTAGGCTACAACCTTGTATTGGAATCTTTTGAATAAAAATATATACATTTTAAGCTTGTTTATTATAGTAAAAAATAGAAATTTTAAGTCATTGAAAATAATTTGACATTCACACAAATAATTAATAACAAATAAAGAAATCAATGCATAAATAATAAATAATTTGTATAAATAATAAATAGGTACCAAATTATTGAAAATATTATTTTTCCCTACTAACATTTTTAACTTTGTGTGCACACTTGTTTCGATTAATAAGAGTGTGGCTCAATATGCTCAATATATCAGCTGTTGGATAATATTTTTTATAATAATAACAATAAATACAATGTCAAATCGGCTTTCCAACCGCCGGCGCAACATACTAACTAATATTAGATAGTTCTCACCAAACTTCTTCGTCGCTGTCCAAGGACGTGCCAAAATTTTTACGCAAATTTTCGGACCCCGATATTTTGGGTTTGCTCTTGGTCGACAGCGATGTTACAGGTGAACACGTCTGGCGAAAAAATATATGCTCCAAGTAGCCGACATACAAGGCACAACTAAAAGGTTGGTACACAATCGTTTAACGGCCATAATTTTTAACCAAAATAAACTCCCAAAAGTATACTTGAAAATGTGAGGCCAACACTCTTGGCCGTGGCATCCGAATTCCAATCCTCGTGACAACATTACGTCCATGCTTAGAACGTGCGAAGTAATCAACTTAGGTTGTTTTTTCATCATACCCGACAACCAGTTGGCGGGACCTTTTTGCGTGCAAGAGGCTGTTACGAGCAGAGAAAAAATCCCTTCGCAACGATTGTGCATACCTGTTAAATAATTAACAATTAAAAGAAGATCCATTTTATAGAAGTACAATCATAATTACGATCAAAAGCCTACCGACTATATTGGCGAGAGTAGCGGCTTTTTGTAACGCGTCTAGACTATGTTGTACAGACATCTGACGCGTGATATCTTTATTGATTTCACTTCGCAACAGTTTTCTCATTTGAAGATTTTTTGTATCGTTAATAAAATCACATTGGAGCGGGACGGCCAAGACATTCATCATGGTGTCCCAGCAGCAAGTCAAAATACGTCTGCTTAATTTTATACCTGAAAAGAACACCACAACATAAATCAAGTGAATATTTTACTTGCGATTTTTCATATTGCAACTCACCGGCTTCAATATCAGGACTCGTTTCGTTTCTGCAAATAGTGCGTTCCAATCGGAGACAGTCGGACAGCAGCCAATTCACTTTATTTTCAGAACTGTGCCCGTCGATATCTAAAAATAGTAAAATTACAAATAAATTTGAATCGGTAAAAAAATAAAACCACACAGTCTATTCAACATAACGGTAACACAAGTAGCAAGCGCCGCTTTTGGATGAAATGATCTGATGTCAAAATGATATCGCTAAGAAAATTGATTTCAACAATCGCAAGAACGCAAAAAAAACAAACCCACTACAAACAGTTGCGTGAAATTATAATTGGCAATAATTTGGTCATTTTTTATATAAACATTTAAAAACCAAGTAAAAAGCTAGTTTGTTCATAATAACTCGTTAGAACATCTATTATTATCGATTAACTACCATTTAAATATCTATGAATTGCTCGACAAAAATGTATAATTGTAAAAAATTTTAAACAAAACTAAAAATGCATTTAGAAATTGTAATGAAAAAATAATAATAATAATTTGATAATCTTTTTACTTATACATTTTTTTTAAGGCTTAAAATTAGTGTTTTTTTTAAACATATATTTATATAAAAATAAAGTTACCAAATTTTGGAGTTATTAAAATCAGATTTTATTGTAAACAATTAATTGAATTTATAATTAACGAAAAATTGTTTTTTCAATAACGTTTAAGTATGTGTAATTGCAGGGTGCAAAACAAATAATTGTAACAAGCTAAAAGCAAAGTTTTACGTTTCATTAGGTTCATTTAATCAGAGCCGATTTAGTTCAAACTAATATTAATTGAGTTTTGAAATTATAACTGTCCAGTGTCACAAGTGACTTTTTTTTTTTAATCAAAATATAAAAACAATTTGAGCACAAAAACAACACTCGTGCAGAAAGAAAAAATAGCATTTGCCGGTATGTTTAAATGTGCAATGGAAATCCACACAACTCAAGCTTTAAATTTCAAAAGCCTCGTAACAACCTGTCAACAGATCAATTAGCGCCAGATGGCCGGTCGTCTGTATCTCGTAACCGGCCGACACCAGTACGTTGGTAACTAGGATACGTTGGTAAAGCTCGGCCAACCAACTAGTGGACACGTACATCAACATGCCACTGCTGTAAACTTCCTCTACAAATTGTTCCTGTACAAAAAAAAAAAAAAGACCGTCCCCCCTGTAGTAAAGTCAACATTGGAGGTAGTCGATCTCTGGAGTCGAATTTACATTAATTTACTATAGAAATCATCCAACGTTCTTACGTTGACTAAAACTTACAATTAGTAGTATTAAATTTAAAATCCTCAAATTTAAATAAAGGCACGTTGAACATTTTGCAATTGGGAATCATTTCAGACTTGGGAATTATTTAAATTAAAATTAAAATAATTATTAATTATTTTAATGTTGTTAATACAATAGAACACTTGAATTCCGGAATATCTATGACTACAGTAGGCATTTTTGTATTTATTTATCGTAAACTAACAAAGGTGGCTTATCACTTAGCTTTCAACTTCCATTTACGATTAAAGACCAAAAACAATCAAGTTTAGGTACTAATTATTTTGGAAAAGTGTTCATCACAACTCACTTCGGACATAATAGGTATTATGTTGGGATCTTCGTAGTAGTGTTGATGAATCAATTTCAGATTAAGATAAAGCGACACACAAGTGGCTACGTATACACCATCGGCGTTTATTATTATTGAACTCTCCGTTTTGCAGTCTCGGTTTAATATCTCTGAAACAATGATAACACAGGAAGATCAACATTAATTATACACGTATTTCTTTAATCGAAATTCTTCGTTTAATTATAAACGCCAACCGTCGCAATAATTCGAAGCGAATCTCTGAATCTCTTCGTCCACTTGCAATGTACTTCGAAGCGGCAATAAAGTTGGCAAAAAATCCGTTAGGGTTTGGACAAAATTAATGGCGTTGCTTCTTTCCAAATCCAAAGCTTCGACCGTTTCCTAAAAAAAAAAGGAACAAAACATTTAGCTATTAATAAAATGTTGTAGTGCGAACATCTTACCGGTGCCACTTGAATAATGTTCAACATATTTAATTTCTGCACCACTTGTTCCATATGATGTACTTCTTCCTTAAACTTTTCTTCAGCTTCCGCTTCCATTTCGTCTATCTATTTTTTGCCAACCCAAATAAACAAACATTACTATTTTATCGGCATGTCTATATTTAATTAATTTATAACCTAACCTGTGGATCATTTTGGTATCCGCCTTCTGGTCCTTCGGTGTTGCCGCTACTTGGTACGCCACTGCTACTGCTCGTACTGTAAGTTCGACTTTGGTGATGTTCCGAAGACGTATCCGACGAACATTGTTCCATATAAATGTTTGGTAGTCGCATCATCAATTCATAAGTAAGTGGACCCGTGTAATCGCAATCCGATAACGACTTGAATTCTTCGTTTATTCTGTCGACGTACAGATCGTTAATTCCTTTACCTGTTGATATTTCCAGAAGCGTCGTCAACAAGGAAACAATGCAAGACACGCTTGTCGAAATGATTTCCCAATCTGCACATTTGGCACATTCTTCTATCGAGTCCATCGTTCTACCGTCATAAAAAAAGACAATTAACTTTAAGCAGTTATAAAAATAACGATGACAAATAAAGTCGCACTCACAAACGGATTAAGGCCATGTCGCTCTGTTGACATACTTTATCATCTTTGTCGTCTTCAATTAGTATGGGTGCCGCAAAATCTACAACTCTGTTCGGACTGCTTAGTAACTAAAAAAAAAAAACATTTATTCAGTATTTGTCCAATAATAATTATTACAGTTATGCATGAAAAATCTAAATAATAAGGTAACAATCAAATAACACATGTTATTATAACTTTTTAGGGATCAATTTGTTTTTTTAGGATCGAGAGCAAATACTAATTACTGTATTAGCTATCGCCTTTACATTAAAGTTTGAAGCGTTAAAATTAAACAATTTTAAGTTTTCAATGCTATTTAGACCATTTATGAAATTCTAATTAAAAAATATCGCCACAAAGATTTTTGAAATTTTATGTTTAGTTAGAAAATTTGAATTAATCAACGTATTAAATCAAATTAGTTCAATCCTTTTTTTTTTTTGAGATTTGCGAAACATAGTATCAAATTTTTTAGACTAGTGTTTAACTTTAGGATCATTTAATTAATTACATCAACAATTATTCTAAAACCTTTTAACACAATTTTTAAAATATTTTATGAACATTTTCTGATATTTCAACAAACACCAACAATAAAATTATGTATAATTATTCGACTTGAGAGATTGATTTTTTTAAATTGAAATTATAAATTCTATTTAAGTTGTTATTAAAATACTTTTTTTTCTTATAATGTTTTGATAAGTTGTTTTGTAGTGAATGTAATTAAATAAAATGTTAACATATTAGATTCTGATTCTTTTCAGAACTACTTAATAAGTAAAGATTTGTTCAAGTATTAAAAAAAAAAAACAAATTCACAATAAAAATGGTAAATTAGTCAATTCGGAATATATTTTTTTATTTTCTATTTCGTCCACGCTTACATACCTCTCGCAAAGCTTTTAAAGCGTCTATTCTATAGATGGGCGGCGGATACAATAGCATTCTATGGAAGACCGACTCCAAGACTGGTCTGAGAGAACTCACACATCCGACTAATCTTACTAACTGACTTCCAATACTAAAATAAATACATGCCCGGTGTTAGTAGTAGTTAGTATTCAAAAATTGGTGATAAGCACGTAAAATTAAACTTCCAATTGTCGTTACCTGTAAACGGTCTTGGACCGATTGCTGTTGAAGCCGGGCGCGCTTCCCAAGACCCCCGATCCTCTGCCCATTTTTTTACCGTTTTCATCGTCCCTAGAGACAATCTTTTTGTCTACTCGGGGCGAGCCCAAAAACGCAATGAGAGCTGGACACAATCGCTGCCACAGAAACATAGTGAAATGACGGTTATCGTGAACTTTTTGTGGTAAGCTGGCTGCCAGGGTATGCAAACACTCGAGGTAAAACACGACGGCTCGACTACATCGATCGCCACTATTCCGATCCCACAAAAAATATACATAAATATTGTCATACACTAGTAGAGTATTATTTTCAAAAATTTAAACCATACTTTTGGGTCTCGTCAATTTTGCTGACGATAAATTGCATAATCGGCAGAACTTCGTTGAAACATAACACGCCACCAGCGCTGTTGTCCTTAATTTTATTCAATTCTTCACATTCTTCGTCTAAAAATTACAGTACAGACGATTAAAAAAATAATTACCCATAGCTACAGAAGAGTGTTGATATTGCGTACCTAAATAATTACAAAAGTATCTTAGCGTCTGGCTAACAGCTGCTTGGGCGGCCGACTGGATTCCTTGATTGCCGTTTTCATAGACTTCACACGAAAGCGTAAGTATTTGAATTATAATGCGACCGTTCATAGTCCAATACGACGAACAGGCGACGTTTAAAAACACCTATGAATGAAAATATTGTATTATACACATAAACACAACAAGAGACCGACAAAAATAGATACCTTCAACATATCAATTTGTGTATCATCCGACTGTGTTAAAATAGAGCTGATTGTGTGTAACATTTGAGACGGCAACCATAGGGAATCGTCTTCGGGTTCAAAATTTGACTGAAACCTATCGTCTCGTAGTATTTTCTGCAGAAAACGAAATACAAAAAAATACTGTTATTGATTTAATTATTACATTAAAATAATTTCAACAAGCTCACATTGAGTCCGGATAATGCATGAGCAACCAGTTTACTCTTTTTGGTTTCAAACGCTTGTTTGAAAACGTCTAAACATTTCGCTCTGAGTTCGTAGGCCGGATCGCGCAACGTACCTTGCTGCTTATCTAAAAATACTGGAAAACGAAATATTATTATTACTTAAATAATATTTACACATCTAAGTATACAGTGTTCAGCTTAATTATAAATACATAGCATACACTACCACAGTACTATTTAATCAATGTTGTATCTTAATAAGATATTAATATATAAATTCAAGACAAAAATGAATCAAATTCTTCTTGTTTCTAACGTTTACAAATTCATAAACAATAACAATAGTTAACAAGACGAGTCTTGTTTGGTGCACTTTTGTGGATTTTAAAGCATAATTAACACAAACTCTCAGTCTCTTTGTTTTCGATTATTTTAAAACTAAAACGAGATATAAATTCTGAAAACATTAGCACATACATATCAACATTTTTTTTTTAACATACTGATAATTAGGTTTCTTTTTTTTTTTTTAAGAAAAAAAATCATATTACAGCCCAGAGTTTTGCACAAATTTTTAAGTGTTCAAGTTTTAGATACACTACAATATGGCCGTTAGGTTAGATTTAGTTCTCATAAAGTGGAAAATCGTGTTTTATCGGTTGCATATTAAAACAAATCAAACAGGACAGAGAGTTTTTCGGTCGTGTATTGGTAAAAAAAACCTTACCATATGCTTCGGTAGCAGACTGGCTGAGTTGGTTGAATTTCGCGTTGGCCGCGTCTTTCGATATTTGTATAAGTAGATCTTCCATCGTCGGCAAATTATGTAGCGTTATTAATTAATATTGTAACTGCTCGCGGCAACAGTAGCTATTGACATGTTTAAGTACACCTACACTACACATCACGACGTTCGTTTAGACCGACAAAAACATCAATAACAAAACGAAAAATAAAAGCCGGATTCGGTATTACCCGAAACGCGGACGAACATTGTTTATTGGCTCTGTTCATGCGCTGTTATCAACAAAGTAAACAGGTAGGTCGTGATAATCGCGAAACGGCCGCCGTGTAGCCACGGCGGAAGACCAGCAGCCATTTTTGTAAAAAAAATGATAACGCGAGTTGCCGGCATACCTTGTGTACTTTGTGCACCGATAACATTTTGTTTCGCCGTTCATTGATAACGCCGGCCGCCGCGTCAGCTGCAGCTGTTGGCGCTGTTATCAATTCATAAACGGATATTATTTAATTCCTCGTGCAAATACCAAGTTGTAACAACCCTAACAAGATCAAACGAAGAGATATTGCACAGGGTAATTCGAGTGCACAAATTTAGCTGGCTAAGCAACTTACCAAGGCCTAAAACCATCACATATGTCCTGGACGCAAAGCTTTTAACAATACTAATGGCCGGTCGCGTAAACGTTCATTAAAGGTTTAATAAATCAATTGATGTTTAGTGGTCAGCGATTTGTCCATTCAATTTTAATGAACCATTAAAACTTATTGTTTATGCAACCCGGCAAGAGTGGCGAATCACCATGAGAAATCGTTGGATAGAGAGATGGAAGAAAGTATACAATGCAAAAATAGATCTAAATAGCATTTGATGCTAAAAAAAAAATATTATTTCATTTTAGTAAAAATATAATAGAAATAAAGTTATTATTATGACCATTCTCGGTAATTTAAATTAGAAAATCAGTATAGCTCACTTAGTATAGCAAAATTATAATCTCCTATTTTACAACCAGCTGATGTATATCATTTTAAAAAACGCATACACGTTTTCGTATCCAAGCATTTTTTTTTTTTTTAATGTTTATGACAACTTATTTAAAGTCGTTTACTTAGTATAAATTTGATTGGATTTTTACCGTTATTCTGTGTACCTTCTAAACGATAACATATCTATTAATCTTATACTTTGTTTGTGAATATAATTTGTTTAAACTGTTGTTTTTTAACGACTAATTTAATGTGACTAATTGCTATTAAAATTGCGTTTTTTTCCATAATAATTACTTTGTGTATTTTCTGAACATTAAAAATATCTATTGAACTTTATTGATGATTATTTCATTATTTCACGTCTTCAGCAAAGCTATAGCGTGTTTCGAATTCAGGTAAGTAAGTATTAAGGTATTCTCAACTTCTTTCATGTTGTTATTAGAAACCGTATACCGGGAAAACCGGATTACTTGGGACATATGGTTAACTTGGGTCATATTTTTTTTAATACCTACGTACACAAATATTGATCTCGTTTTGTATTTTTTATAGCTTTGTCAAGTTAGTAAAACATAAATGCTAACTGGTACATCTCCTGGGCAATTTTTGAATTCTGTTTTTGTCAATAATTCGCTTAGTTAGACATCATATATTTTTATTCAATATTTTATTTCTCTATAAAAAAAAAACAACACACTCAACTCCCCGAGAATAATTTTATAACAGACATCGAATTCAAAATCGATGGACTTGGCCATCGTGGCATCGTTCAAACTTAAATATTGTAAATTTCGTTAAGTAGATACTATTATTAAAGTCGATAATATACTAGTCTATCTAGTCCTATATTATCCGTCTAGTCCATACTAGACATCACTAACACAAACCTGAAACCAGAATGTCATTAGTTTATTATTTAAATATTTAAACATATTAATAACTCTTCGAGCAGGTTGCAATTGTTTACAAATATGAACAGGACCGCAGGCGAACACACGTTTTAAATTTCTAAATGGGGCTGATTTATACTTACAAATATTTAAATTATTTTACTTATTGTACATTTTTTTTTTAGTAGAACCTTGTTATTCTCAAGCTCGCGGGTACATCAGATACGTTTTTCTTACATTAATAAATACTTTGATTAAAAACCATAGTATATTAAATAATAAATATATAAATCCCCACACAAAAAACATATATTAGCAACATAAATAACAGTACAAGAAAAATTATAAATTTAGTTAGAAAAAAATTTCACTATATAATACCAAGCTTTCATTTTAAAGAAAAAAAAAAGACTTGTTAAACATTATTTGTTTACAAATAAATAATTTGGAATTTAAACTAACTGAAACCCTAAATCTAAAAAGTATTCCTTTACGACCTTTTCCACGTGTTTTTCAATCTTCAATTTGACCTCAGCGTGATCACTTTCCTCAAGGGGCTGGTCGGTTGTTTCATCTTCTTCTACCGTTTCTGCGTCCATCGAAGAACTTTGATTAAGACTATCACTAAGATCAATAGCATCAACATCTTTCAGTTGCATGCAATATTTCTCCATTAAAGGTGACAAACCATCTCTTACTTGGCTTTTTAAAATTTTTTTTAGACCTTTATAATAATCGTTAATATTTACATCGGCGTCGTCGGGGTATTCATATTGCAGTGTGGTCTTAACATCACGAAACGCAATCACGCTAGTTACTAGCGGTTTTATATATTTCTTTAATACAAAATATGTTCTATTTTTTTCCAGCGGTTTTATCAAAAAATTCAACGCACACGACATGTAATCAAACATATTTTTGCCTTTTTCGAAGAGTTCTATAAGGGTGTGAAATAGCTTAAAGGATTTCCGATAATTCTTAGGGTTTACTTGAAAAAGTTCAACACTAAGAATCTTACCTGATGCACATTTTTCTTTGTAGCTACGTTTTTGAAACCTTTTTCTTTGATTCGCAAGATGTACCTCATAATCACATTCATCCAGGATGCTTTTAGTCAAAAGTATGAACTCAAACACAGCATTCGCGTACACGCATCCCAACAGCTTATTGGCCATGGAATATTTTTTTTCCATGTTTTCTTTAGTGATATTATTCGATTGATTGGGTTGTTTGGGGTCTATAAAGATGTAATCTCCCGAAAACGAAGACCGAGTGCACGAGTTATCGTGATATTTGACTTGCATGTGATTGAGTCGGCCCCATCCTTCATTTTTTAGAAGTTTATTTAGTTTGTCGATGTTTTCTTTACTCGGCACAAACTCGGCGAGTTGGACTATGGTTAATAGAAATAACAGATCAATCCACACATTATAAAACATTTTATCAGCTTGAAGTATTTTTTATTAACGCGGTAGGTACAAAAAAAATGTATATATTATGTACGAAGGGTTACATTCGTTCTCAAACAGAAAGCTCTATGTGAAACGGTTGACTCGTTTGACATTTGGAAATTTGTTTACTTCTAATAATAAAATCGCTGTTGTTTGTTCATTTGGCATGCAGTTTTTTTATTCACCAGCATGGCAGACTATAGGTCTTGCTTTGATCAATCGAAACTTATAACACATTTTAGCACCTTGAATTATTTCGTATTAACGCAGTAGAAAAAAATATATATTCTATCGCGGATCCGGTAGAACAATGACTCAAATGCACAAATTAAAATTTTACAGGAGACGGAAAAAACCAAATTATTTAAACTAAAATGTTATGGGATGTAATTTTAATGGAAAGGGAATGGTTGGGAAATTATTACAACTACAATTACACCGTTTTACTACCTTATGCGTTCGATATATTTAAACACATTGAAGCATTTAGCCTATTTTACCAAGTTTTGCAGTTAGGTTATTATTCTTTAATTCCTGGAAAACTGTGTTTTTCCCAGATTTTGTATATTTTAACAAAGCGTTTATTTGAAAGTGATTTTATTCACTTTTATTACTTTTATTTCTAATAATTCTTGTAGACCTGTGACCTCTCCGTCCCCTCGTTGCTTTGATTACATTATGCCTATACTCTACTGTACTAGTCCTCTCGGATAAAATCACTTTCAAATTAGCGTTATGATGCTTATTTGGAAATACAGCACCTCAATTTAATACTTTTAAACTTTCCTTGTTTACACTGTGCTTGGTTTGGAGTTTGGACCGTACCGGCTTCTTTTTTTTTTATCTAGAACAATTTTAACGAGTAGAACGATTTTTTTTTCAACGTGAATAGAATTCATTAACCAGAGGCCTAAATTTGGGTTTCTAATTGGTAATGTGTTAGATTTTATTTTATACATTGAACTTTCTTTGTATGAAATACCCAAATTTTTGTACTATTCAATGCAATAGATATAAAATTTACTGTGTGTACAAACACAACAAATTTTCATGTGTCTTATTTTTTTAGTTTCGTAGCAATGAGAAGAACAAAACGAGTAATAGCCCATAAAAAACATTTCACTAAATCAATAAACAATTTTACATATTTGGTATTTAGCACACAATGCGTTTGCCAAAAACAAATTGAAATCGACATTCTTTTTTATTTAAAATATTATGCAGGATTAATTTTCGTACCCTGCATTGTTCTTTTTTAAATCATATTTAAACCAATCCAATACCATTGTGGTTAACCAGCCAAGATATTTTTTCCACAGCTGGCTACAATATATACGATAATATATTGTACATGTTTTATTTAATCTCTCGATATTATAACTCCATTTAGGTTATTTTACCACTATCGTCAAATCTCTATGTAATAACCATTAAGGTTAATTATCTATTAGGAATATAAACGATGAACCTGTCTGCTGTCACCCAAACTTGCGCAGTCATTTAATAAAGGCAGAACATTAAGGAACAGTAATAGACATATAATATTATGTACTAACAAAAAAATGTATTATGTGGAATATTTTATTGAAAAAATCCACCGACGGTACTTTTCCCGTCAGCTTAAGTTTATGTGTAATATTCTACAATTTCAGATTTCATAATGTAAATAGTAATAATAATAAGATAAATTATAATTTATTATGTAATGAACAGAATACAGATGCCAGTGTTTTTCTAACATTAGGTTAGGATGTGGGTGGAACTTGTGGACGTCCGAGTCGTATCTGTTTCTCAAATGATTTGACATCATCCGTCCTGTATCGCTTTTTGACATAATTTTTATCCGTTAAGATACACTTGCGCTCAGTTGAGTCAATCTCAAGTTTTTTAATGTATGTTTCTGGAAATTGTGTACCACAGTAAAATTCTAGCAAACGACACTTGGATAATAAAGAGGCAACGTCATCTACATCTTGCACAGATCCTTTTAAAAAATTGGAAAATATTTTATTTTAATTTTCTAATATTAGTATACCAGTTACTAATTTTGTAATGCAGGACATGACTGTTTTATTTGTCAGTACGAACTCATAAAAAAATAATTCAAAACTGGTTATCAACCAGTCAAATTTTTTATTGAAATATTTTCAATTTAAAAAGTTTAAAAATTATACACGTTACTATTTAAGTTTCAAAATTTGCTACAAAAAAAACTAGTTTGGGAGGGAAGGGGGTATAAACATAATGACTTGTGGAAAATTGAGATCACATTGTATAAAAACACTTTGAAAAAAAAAAATTGTAATTATTAATTAAACCCAGTGAGATATTGAGTGGGCCATGATAAAAAAAAATCACCTTGTATATAAAATATATTCATAGTTTTCAAAAACCATACAACTAAATCAACAAATGTATTATTTCTATACTTGAATTCCCAGATAATTTATTACACATTAACTGTGTGACTGTAGTCACACACTCTTTCTCTCACTCTATCCTCAACAAAAAGATGAATTTATTAAAACTGTTATTTGACATAAAACATTTAATAAATAAAATAAGGCAATTATCGACTCTTAAACAAGATTTTAAAGCTATTTACGACCATAACAAAATACGTAATTACCTTTTTCAAGTCCTAACAATTGAAATCCTGTAACAAATACATCAAACATCAAATCGTTATGCAGTTAATAAAACCAGGTTAATATGTTTTACACATAACAATTTCCATTTGGTCTGAAATCAACAGGACATAAATGAATGGTAATGCATTTAATTTTCTATTCTATTATAAACAGAAAGACGGATTTCAAGGTAGAAAAAACATGTATATATAATATAATGAGAGTCTGTTTGGAAAATTCAATAGGAATAAAATTTTGGAAATATTTTCATAAAAATTCAACAAAAACTATTACCCGATAAGGTTGGTTCCTTAACTTAGTTTTTGGTAAAGAAGTTGTTGAGTATAAATACCTGTTATATTATCGAGAAACGTCACAAGTGCAATACAGTGCATAATACCGTCGTCATCAGTCGAGTCCACCATGTAGTCGACTATATATTCGTCGTAATCGACCGGCACAAGATTAGGTCGCCTAAAGAGTTATTTATATTATTAAAAAAAAAAAAAAAATTTTATGCTTTGAGTTGCCATTTAAATTCCATATTACGCAAAACTACTAATGATATGGATTTTGGATTTCGGTTAAGACACTACGCCAAATAAAACAGTCGTGTCCTGCACCACAAAAGTAGTAACTGGTAATCTAATATTAGAAAATTAAAATTAAATATTTTCCAATTTTAGCTTCGATACAAAGCGGCGAAGGTATTGGTTTTATTCTGATGTGTTTTTTTTTATCTGTATACACTGTAACATTTTTAAAACTCAACCAATTCCTTCTAGTAGCAACTCTATAAATTTTAAAATTGCATCTAGTTTGTACTTTGAGCGGGAAAAAGTTTACTTCTTCACAGTCAAAATTTGAAAAAACAAAAAAAAACCATAACCTATTAAACGGAAAACAAATTCGGCATTACAGTTTATTTTTAATTGCCGGAAAAACTGAGTTTTCCCAGATTGCGTATATTTTAACAAAAACACCTAAAATCATAAAAATATATAGATCTATGCAGAATGATACTAATACGTTTTGTGCACAAGTACCACTTTTGACTTTAGGTTTACCCGAATTCAATTATTTTTTTGAAAGTGATTTTATCCGAGAGGACTTTCACAGTAGAGTATAGGCATAATGGAATCAAAGCAACGAGGGGACGGAGAGGTCACAGGTCTACAGGAACTATTATAAATAAAAGTAATAAAAGTGAATAAAATCACTTTCAAATAAACGCTTTGTTAAAATATACAAAATCTGGGAAAAACACAGTTTTCCAGGAATTAAAGAATAATAACCTAACTGCAAAACTTGGTAAAATAGGCTAAATGCTTCAATGTGTTTAAATATATCGAACGCTTAAGGTAGTAAAACGGTGTAATTGTAGTTGTAATAATTTCCCAACCATTCCCTTTCCATTAAAATTACATCCCATAACATTTTAGTTAAAATAATTTGGTTTTTTCCGTCTCCTGTAAAATTTTAATTTGTGCATTTGAGTCATTGTACTACCGGATCCGCGATAGAATATATATTTTTTTCTACTGCGTTAATACGAAATAATTAAAGGTGCTAAAATGTGTTATAAGTTTCGATTGATCAAAGCAAGACCTATAGTCTGCCATGTTGGCGAATTAAAAAACTGCATGCCATATGAACAAACAACAGCGATTTTATTATTAGAAGTAAACGCATTTCCAAATGTCAAACGAGTCAACCGTTTCACATAGAGCTTTCTGTTTGAGAACGAATGCAACTCTTCGTACATAATATATTTAAATTTTTTTTGTACCTACCGCGTTAATAAAAAATACTTCAAGCTGATAAAATGTTTTATAATGTGTGGAGTGATCTGTTATTTCTATTAACCGTAGTCCAACTCGCCGAGTTTGTGCCGAGTAAAAAAAACATCGACAAACTAAATAAACTTCTAAAAAATGAAGGATGGGGCCGACTCAATTACATGCAAGTAAAATATCACGATAACTCATGCACTCGAACTTCGTTTTCGGGAGATTACATCTTTATAGACCCCAAACGACCCAATCAATCGAATAATATCACTAAAGAAAACATGGGAAAAAAATATTCCATGACGAATAAGCTGTTGGGATGCGTGTACGCGAATGCTGTGTTTGAGTTCATACTTTTGTCTAAAAGCATCCTGGATGAATGTGATTATGAGGTACATCTTGCGAATCAAAGAAAAAGGTTTCAAAAACGTAGCTACAAAGAAAAATGTGCATCAGGTAAGATTCTTAGTGTTGAACCTTTTCAAGTAAACCCTAAGAATTATCGGAAATCTTTTAAGCTATTTTACACCCTTATAGAACTCTTCGAAAAAGGCAAAAATATGTTTGATTACATGTCGTGTGCGTTGAATTTTTTGATAGAACCGCTGATAAAAAATAGAACATATTGTGTATTAAAGAAACATATAAAATCGCTCGTAACTAGCGTGATTGCGATTCGTGATGTAAAGACCACACTGCAATATGAATACCCCGACGACGCCGATGTAAATATTAACAAATTTTATCAAGGTCTAAAAAAAATTTTAAACCGCCAAGTAAGAGATGGTTTGTCACCTTTAATGGAGAAATATTGCATACAACTGAAAGATGCTAATGCTATTAATCTTTGTGATAGTCTTAATCAAAGTTCTTCGATGGACGCAGAAACGGTAGAAGAAGATGAAACAACCGACCAGCCCCTTGAAGAAAGTGATCACGCTGAGGTCAAATTGGAGATCGAAAAACACGTGGAAAAGGTCGTAAAGGAATACTTTTTAGATTTAGGGTTTCAGTTAGTTTAAATTCCAAATTATTTATTTGTAAACAAAGAATGTTTAACAAGTCTTTTTTTTTTCTTTAAAATGAAAGCTTGGTATTATATATTAAAAAATTTGTTTCTAACTAAGTTTATAACTTTTCTTGTACTATTATTTATATTGCTAATACATGGTTTTTTGTGTGGGGATTTATATATTTATTATTTAATATACTTTGGTTATTAATCAAAGTATTTTTTAATGTAAGAAAAATGAATCTGTACCCGCGAGCTGGAGAATAACAAGGCTCTACTATGACGTTGCGATCAAGAGATTTAAAATGAAAGAAAGTATCAAAACATTGACAACGTCAATGAGTTAATTAATAATTAATCATTGAGCAATATAGCTAAGACAAAATAATTATAAATTCGTGGTAACGTAAACGTATAATTGGTAATTATTGACTATAGTCATTGTTCTTTGTTGCCACATGCTTGACGATAATAAATATAAGTACTGTATTTACAAATAAGCATCAAAGCGTTAATTTGAAAGTGATTTAATCCGAGAGGACTAGTACAGTAGAGTATAGGCATACTGGAATCAAAGCAACGATGGGACGGAGAGGTCACAGGTCTACAGGATTTATTATAAATAAAAGTGATAAAATTTAATCAAATCTCTTTCAAATTAACGCTTTGATGCTTATTTTTAAATACAGCACCTCAATTCAATACTTTCTAACTTTGCTGGTTTATACTGTGCTTGGTTTGAAAATACTAACTACCGATTTGCATCGTTTTTTCGAAGTGATTTTATCACTTACAGATTTAAAAATTCCTGTAAACCTGTGACCTACCCGTCTCCACTATGCCCTGACCCAACTATGCTCTGTCCCCACTATGCCCTGACCCCACTGTACATTTTTTTTTTTTGTTAATATTGCCTATTCAAAACTCCTTAAAAACAGACGGCATGCAATCCCCTCTAAGAGGACGCCACAACGGCCATTTCTAAGGAGTAAAGTATAAGCAATTTTTCGAAAAATTCTAATTTAGAGTTTGAACTATAATGTATACTTTATTAATACAGTAATGAGGATACTTTATTAATTGTCATTTTTTATGCCAGACCATCACAGTCAATTCTATAGGATAAAATACAATTTGTTTGCCATCAAAACTGCTTTGCACGGATTAATTTTTCTCAAGCTTCATACATACAGTAAGTTAAGGAAAGAAATTCATAAATATTATTTACGACAAAATTATCTGTGTTCCATCATCCGTATTTTTTCGATATATCTAATACAACCAACGCTATATAATTTTTAAAAAAGTAAACAAAGTCCTTTCTTAATTATTTCATTAACTGGTTGAAATATTAAAAAAAGGGCAAAAGTAGAACACAGACAATGTTGTTGTCTATAATATGTAAAAATTTGGTTTCTTAGTTTTGATTATAGCCTTTGAATATTAATCCGCGCAAGGCGGGTTTTTTGAAGAAAATAACGGGCGTGTGATGTCCTCTTAATGCGTGTTAAATTAAGTTTTTTTTTTAACTTAAAACTTATTTTGGAAGTGAATAATAAAGTTGTTGTGAAAAGTTTCCATTACATATGGACATATCAAGAGAGCAATACTAATTAATAAGCGCTATTATTTTTTCACAAAAAAAAACACTTGGGGGGGATAAAAGTACATTATTAAGTATACAAGTTTTATAACTTAAGATGACTTTTGTTAGGCGTTCTTAAAACACAATTTCCCTCATAACGAAATTGTATTTAAATATATAGTACTATAGTAAACTATTATTATTATTATTATTTTAGAAAATTTTAGTTTTATTGGAATATATTTACAATCTGTAAACAAAAATAATATAAGCAAATATTTTGACAAAAAAAAAAGTTTCTCGAGGGGGGGAGTCCTACGGATAGTACTTTCTTTTACTTGGAATTACTGGAGCAGGTCTTTTAGGAAATTACGGTGAAGACCAGAATGTCTGGTAGAGAACTAGAAGCGAGGTTATAAACGAGTTAGTTCGGATGACCATTAAGTTTAGAGTGGAACATTGCATAGTAGATTATGGCAGTTTCGTGAACTGTTTTGGCGTTAAAGACTGAACAATTTCAGACTTAAGAACATTTAAAACTAAAAAAAAAAAGGAGCACATTAGAGTCGGAGCACGTAGAAGAAGGACATGTTGTTATTTTTCACAATTTATAGACAAGTATAATGTTGTAAAAGTTGATTATTTTAAATCAAGGTAGCTACAGTATTAAACTTGCGCTGAGGTTGATTAAAATTCCAACTTCACACAGTAATGTGATCCTAACCAATAGGCTAGCCGATATGCCGTCAAATCAATTAATTCGAGATCGTTTAACAACTCTTGTTGTCTGGCCATTGTTTTGGATGAAAAATAACTAGCACTTTGTTATAAATTATTGCTGAAAATGATCAGTCAATTTTAATTAATTATAACACATCACAATATTATAATGTACGTTATTCCAATTTTAGTATTTCAATATTGTCAAAGTTGTTTTAAATTTCAATATTTGTAGCCGTTGAAACGGTTTTTGTAAAACCATATAAAATTAAAAAAAAAAAATACGATTCCGTTAAATAATATATGTTTTTTGACATTTTCATGCCTTTGCTTTGGAACACACACGGAAAATCGACACTAATTATCTACACCAACTAACGATACCAATTACTGACACCGGTATCATAACGGAAAAAAATCAGCTGATTTATCTGATAAGATAAGAGAGGTAAGAGATAAGAGATTATAGATATGTTTTTACTTTGGAACACAACCGGAAAAAGCGACACCGACACCGAAAATGTATCCTTACATATCCTTATATGTCCTTCTTATGAGGGTGGAAATGGGGATGGGAATGTTACATTTATGTGATAGGATATGGGATTATAGGAGATAAGAGATAGGAGATTAGAGATAAAGAATGGAATTGGGGTTGGGAATGGGGATAGAGTGGGAATGGGGGTGGGGCCATATATGTTGTACTGACAACGTTCAAAATAGAAATGAATAATAAATTCAACAAATTCAAGGGGAAAAATTCTCTATGTACTGTTTTAGGCCAGATATTATGAAAACTCTAAAATATTAGCCAGAAATTTGATATGTTTACTAGCCACCTTAGATACATAAAAATGTATCCCGCGGTGTTGCGGACTTGTACGCAAGCTTTTAAAATATAATATGTAATACCTATGTAAAACCTTTAATAGAGCCTTGCAAACATTTGCGATAAAATCTTCTCCTGAGACAAAGCGGTGACCCATTTTTTTTAAGCGTCTTGCGTAGAAAAACATAGTTCAAACTCCGCTTTCTAAGTAATGTTTGTACACGATAAATAACAAAAAAAAAAAAAAAATGAACAGATTATGAAAATAAATGAACATAATATTTACACTGCAAAAAAATATTTGGATTGTGACTTTTCGGTCGACGTGAAAGCCCATCTATAAGTCGCAAGCGGAACATTTAGTTTCAAAAGCTGAACAAGTCGATTGTTGTCCAAGAACATCTTACCAACTTCGAAAATTTAAGCAAGTATTTCTATTAAACTCTAAAAATTGACATTACGCTAAAACTAAAAAACCCATGAGCCTAATGAGTGAAAAGTTATGGTGTTAAAAAATAGAAATAAGGATTTCTTATATCTAGTTATTTTTTATCGATTCTTAATCATCGTTTTACACAATCCAGATTTTGGAGAGAATTTTGTAATTGTTTTTTTGTTTATTTCGTTATGTGGCTTGAAGTGTACTTAAGGATGCGTATTGAAAAAAGGCAGTTTTGAAAATTGTTTTCATAATACCTCAAAAAAGTAGATCTCTTTGCATATACAACCAAGATTAAAAGATATTTAAAAATATATTTCGTCCGTACCAAGTCAAAGAAGAAACATTCAGCAAAATGATTTAGATTTTGCATCATAACTGAATAAGTTTGAACAGTACAGAGAGAAAAAAACAAATTTTTGTAAGGAACTAAATTCATATACGTGTACATTTTTTTTTTTATTTTAATCGCCAAAAATAAAATTTCAAAATACGAATGTAACTCTTCGTACATAATATATATATTTATATTTTTTTGTACCTACCACGTTAATAAACAATTTTTCAAGCTGATAAAATGTTTTTTAACGTTTCGAATGATCTGTTATTTCTATTTACCATAATCGAACTCGCATCGTTTTCGTACCAATCTAAACCGTGTAAAAAATACATCAATAGACTAAATCAACTATTAAAAAATGAAGGATGGGACCGACTTAATCACCTGCAAGTCAAATATCACGATAACTCGTGCACTCGGTCTTCATTTTCGGGAGATTACATCTTTATAGACCCCAAACGACCCAATCAATCGAATAATATCACTAAAGAAAACATGGGAAAGAAATATTCCATGACGAATAAGTTGTTGGGATGCGTGTACGCGAATGCTGTGTTTGAGTTCATACTTTTGACTAAAAGCATCCTAGACGAATGTGAATATGAGGTATTTCGTGCGAATCAAAGAAAATGGTCCCAAGAACATAGGTACAAACAAAAATTTTCATCGGGTAAGATTCTTAGTGAAGAACCTTTTCAAGTAATCCCTAAGAATTATCGGAAATCTTTTAAGCTATTTCACACCCTTATAGAACTCTTCGAAAAAGGTAAAAAGATGTTTGATTACATGTCGTGTGCTTTGAATTTTTTGATAGAACCGCTGGAAAAAAATAGAACATATTGTGTATTAAATAAACATATAAAATCGCTCGTAACTAGCGTGATTGCGTTTCGTGATGTAAATACCACACTGCAATATGAATACCCCGAGGACGCGGATGTAAATATTAACAAATTTTATCAAGGTCTAAAAAAAATTTTAAACCGCCAAGTAAGAGATGGTTTGTCACCTTTAATGGAGAAATATTGCATACAACTGAAAGATGCTAATGCTATTAATCTTAGTGATAGTCTTAATCAAAGTTCTTCGATGGACGCAGAAACGGTAGAAGAAGATGAAGCAGCCGACCAGCCCCTTGAGGAAAGTGATCACGCTGAGGTCAAATTGAAGATCGAAAAACACGTGGAAAAGGTCGTAAAGGAATACTTTTTAGATTTAGGGTTTCAGTTAGTTTAAATTCCAAATTATTTATTTGTAAACAAAGAATGTTTAACAAGTCTTTTTTTTTTCTTTAAAATGAAAGCTTGGTATTATATAGTGAAAATTTTTTTCTAACTAAATTTATTATTTTTCTTGTACTCTTATTTATGTTGCTAATAAATGTTTTGTGTAGGGATTTTTATATTTATTATTTAATATACTTTGGTTTTTAATCAAAGTATTTTTTAATGTAAGAAAAATGAATCTATACCCGCGAGCTGGAGAATAACAAGGCTCTACTATGACGTTGCGATCGATGAAGGTAATATGAGTTACATGTATGCTTGGAAATCAAATGGTTTATATACTCAAAGTTAGAAAAATAAATATTGTACTATTTAAGAATAGAAATGTATGATTGGAAGAAGAGGCAAGTAAATAAAGTGTGATTAGATGAAACGGAATTGAAGAAGTACAATGTAAAAAAGTGTAATTGAAATTGAAATTTCCTTAATAAACAATTTTTTATTTATTTCACTTTTTCAAGCGAAGTTTTAGTGATTTAGATCTGAAAATTAGACCAAAGGTAGATCTAAAATAAAACTATAACATATACAATTTTCTCAAAAATCTGTAGTCAAATATTTTTGGCCACAATGTAGATATCACTATTTCGATACTTACAGGTACAGTAAGTGTTTTATAATTTTGATGATGAGTGAGCAAGTGAGTGAGTCAGTAACAAAAATAAAAACTTTGAAATTCTCCCCTTTTAAAAAGGCCTAATATACTTGGCGTTCGAATTTTTACAGTATCTTAAACTACTCAAGCTTAATCTATGTTTCAAATTTCAAAAGCTTATCTTTAGAGGAAACAGAGATACGTGGGTAAAAAAAACTTGGGTGAATTGGTTCGTGTAAAGATACACTGGCATTGCTGAAACTTGACCTGACTCACTGCCGTGTGCTCAGATAGTAGTAGAACAAGTGTAGCTCGCCTTAGCGAGCTCTGCTTTGGCCGAATGAACCGACCAAAAATACATAATGTTTAGCACTTTGGTTATGGTCATTCGAAGTATGGGTTTTTTTTTTAATCAAATGACTACCAACTCAGTCTTTTCAGAATTAGCTTGCTAATTAATTAAAAAAGTATAATATAAAAATGTGAATATTTCCTACAGGGGAATTTTCAATAACACGCTAGTTTTAATTAACTAAAGTTAATTAAAACAATTTTTTCAAGTTTTGAAAATGTAATGAATAATATAGTAATAAATTATATGTAATTACATATAATTTAAGAAAATATGTTAATTTATATTGAAAATAATACAATTATTATATACTTTTAATTAATGTGCGACTCGAAGAGAAACAATGTGAACAAAAATTAATAATGATAATATATGATATGTTTTGATCGTTATATTACTTTTATTAAATTCCTTTGAAGCGTAAAATAATAATAAACGCTAAATCAAATTCAAAGAAAAACGCAACGCGGTCTTTGTATACCGAAATCTTCAATCGGAGTAGTATAATGTAGGTTTCGAAAAACAACTCGAAACGGTTTGTCATGTTGTACTCGGAAAGTATGGAAATCAACATATTCTATTTTAAATAGACGCACAATTTTACGGTAGTCATCTGATAAGTTGGTTTGTAGTTTTAAGACTTCGATAATGCTTTTACAACTTAACTCCTTCGAACAATTGTCTTTTGAACAGCTTCGCAAAAGCTTTAATAATTTAAATTATATTTTATGAATATTGGTGGGGGTTTGTTTTTTTTTTTGGATCTGGCGAATCACTAGTTTGTTCGATTTCCATGTTAATATTATTATCAATATGTGTGGTAATTTGTTTTGCTTATGGAGACGCTGGCCGGCGTATTTTTTTTTTTTTAAATAATGAATGTAAATTTTATGTAAAAATTAAGATTAAAATCAGTAAAATTTATTTTTCTTTAATTCACTTTTTCAACCAGAGTCCTGGGGATTAAAGTATGGAAATAAGACCGTAGGTACAGCTACAATGGAGGTGAACTATAACATTATAAATATTTTCTTCGAAATTCTATAGTCAAACATTAAGTAAAAAAAAAAATTGGAAAATTTCACTTTGTAAACTGATGAAAACAATTTTGAGCGAAAATTTATAATATTATAATAATAATAATAACAGTTATAAAAATATTATAAAGAAATTTTTGAAATTTTTGACATTTTCAGTTATTTTACAGTTATCTGATAAGAGATAAGAAATATGTTGTACGTTCAACGTTCAAATTAGAACTAAATAATAAATTCAAAATAGTTTAACAGGTCGAATTGTTTCAAGCTAGATTTTATGAAAATTCCGACTAATACATGTAGATTTTAAAGACTATGATAGGTTTCAAAAATTTAAATTTGACCTAATTTATTATATTTTTTTATGGGTGTGGTATAATTGTTTTTTTACTGCAGACAACTTTGCAGTACACCTACATTTGGAATACTTTAAACAATACCTTATCGATTGTACGAATAAACAAATGCACAAAAACATATCTTTGACGCTTTTATCGGTACAGGGTATCCCATAAGTATACTTTAATAGCCCAAATATAATATTCTCGTATTTATTCTAATTAAATGGTTTCTCTTATTCGTCTTTTATGGGGCTAGGAGCTCAGTTCAAAAATATAAATAATTGATAGGAATAAAATTAGGCTTTTCTATAAACCAGTGAAATCCAGTTTTCGGATTTCGAAAATAATCCGGATAAGCGGTGCCGAACCTGCTCCTCGTGGAAGGGTTCGACATCCTCCCTGTTATAGAATGGTGGTGGAAGGGTGGGTTGCCGTTTGGTCATGAAAATAGACTCGACGATACCTTTTTTACATAATCTCACCTTGAGGTAGGTGTCCATTATATTGTTTTGCCCCACCTAAAGAATCTAACTTACCAACTACGAACAATATTATCGTTATAAACAAATTTAATGTAACAAGTGTATTGGATTGGCACGTAAGTTATAACGACGATTCAATCGATACAACATACTTTGTAGGGAACAGTCATAATATTGTGTAAAATATTAGGGTTTATGATGTAATTTATATCATTTGATCGTAGATACCCGTTTTGATTTTTTTTTTTTTAAACCAATATAAATTTAAAAAACGTTTTTGCTTCAAATCTGTGTTATTGCTCTATGCAGTCTACGCTGTTGGCAAACGATGATCACATTCGAAACCATTCAATATTTGTATCAAACCGAGTCGAAATTTATGAGTTAGGTAATTTTGGGCAATACGTGCTATACTCGCGAACCCGAATCCCACTGGAAGTTCGCTGACAACCATTTTACAAAATACTAAAAGTTTTATGGCTTTTCACACCAAATTGTTGATAATCCACCAGAAAATTAGGGGTAATAACATCTCTTATCCGCGGGGATTCGGGTTCGCGTGTATATCACGTATTGCCAAAAAACCACCAAACTCATAAATTTCGACTAGGTTTGATACAAATATTGAATGGTTTCTTATGCGATCATCGTTTGACAACAGCGAAGACTGCATAGTGCAATAACGCAGATTTGAAGCAAAAACATTTTTTTAATTTATATTGGTTAAAAAAAAAAAAATCAAAACGGGTATCTACGATCAAATGATATTAGTTAAATTATAAACCCTAATATTTTTCACAGAATTATGACTGTTCCCTACAAAGTATGTTGTATCGATTGAATCGTCGTTATAACTTACGTGCTACTCCAAAACACTTGTTACATTAAATTTGTTTCTAATGATAATATTGTTCGTAGTTGGTAAGTTAGATTTTTTTACAAAAACTTGAACAAATAACAAGACGACGTTGGAGAGGTACAATGGTTGATGTTCTTTTTATGTACTTTACCCTTCCTCGTTCTTCCAAAAATAAAGAATAACAATATCTGTATTATTTGTTTTACCGTAACTTTAATAACTAAACATTCGCAAAGGCGAATAAAGTTTTTATTATTATTTAAACGTAAAAAAAAAAAATTGATTTACGCATGTGTAGACACTGGACTTGATTTTGATACAATCATGCTATGCGGGTATATACTTCACTTGGTTAGACTATTCCTATTTAGTTTAACCTATATATACTCGAATATAAAAAATCGATAATCAGATAATGTTAACGGTGTGGAATATGGGTATTTATTATTAAATAAATTTGAGGATTTTGTCGTATGGCAAAAACTGCTACAGTCTAAAATAGCGAGGAGATAGATATTTTTCATAGCATTAATAGAAGTTAATAAACAGGTAGATCGGATATCGCGCATTCATGCGGTATAATGATTTGAATTTTAAAAAGTTCTGTTTGATACATCTTATAAACGCTTAATATTCAATTTTCTCCTAATCTATAATTGATAGAAAGTTGAATATATGTATGTCTTATATCAAAGGGTATTGAGGGTGCCTTAGTTACAGGCTTTTCACACTATTTTCATGTAAGCTAATGATATTTAACAAATCAAATTAATCACTCCATCTGTGTACCTACTTTATGTTTTTATATATATTTAATTATTTTTTTATTGTATTGGTCTTAATAAAATATTACTTATTCATTATTACTATACACATTGTTTTATTTATGATTTTGTCTCAATCCGCACAAATCGTCGAAATTCAACGTTTTTTTTGTGTGTTGACACGTTTATTTATTTTAGCTATCTTTTTTCAGTTTTAAACAAACGGCACCACCGATAATGTATTTTGTATGGTACTAAACAAGTACTAACAGCATTAAATCATTTGGGAAATTAACAAGAAGTAATATTTATAAGATATAAGACTTCTAACCCAAAAAAATAATTTGAAATTATTAAAATGTTCTGCCAAATTTAAACATATTGTGTAAAACTAATAAACTATACATATTTCGTCAGCCAAAAAGTAAATTCATACAATATAATTTTTTAAACGCAATGGCGCGCGTTTCTGTAAAATCGCTGTGGGTTTTAATGCCATTGTAAAAAAATTATTCTTATGACTGGTGTATGCAACACGAGCTAAGGCTCAATGTTATGTTTGAAAAGCTGATGTTATTCGCGCGCGTTTGACAAAAACATGACGGTATAGTTTCTAATACAAGGTGATTTTGGCTGTACAGAATGAAAAAGACTTATTTTTATATTTTACAATTTTATTATTTATTATTTTATTTATTGTAGTCCACCCAATATTGATATATTTTATCAAAAATAAGAAAAAAACATTTTGTCAATTAAGATTAACTAAAAACTGTAAAAAAAAAAATGTCTAACATCTCAGATGAATTTAGAGAATCGTAGTTAACCAATCACCCTGTACAAAATATATTAAAATATTAATACTTTGTAAAAATAAAATGCTAGTGACAGTGTTGGTTTAAAAAAAGGTGATACTAATGACGGTGCTTTAGCCAAATATACGAATAAAATTATACCCATATGCACTAAAAAAAATCCTATAATATTTAATTAACACTGGTAAAATAAATTTTAAAAATGTTCAAACCTAAATATAATCTCTAACTTCTCAAATATGCTCTGTTATTCAAAATAATATCTATTAACAAACTGTCTGATGTATTGTCCAAGTTGTTTAACCCCGTAGAGCTGCATAAAGCCTATAAAAATGTGTAAAAACCTAAAAATCCGCTCACTAGTTACATTATACAATTGGGAGAAATTAGTTTAAATTGGTGTACTAAAATGTATTTCATGTGAACATAAATAAATATAATGTAATTTGTTCGGCTAAAGAACTAAGTCCTAATATGTTATAAATTATGATAAATTTTTCTCAAAAGTAAATCATAATAAGAAAGCGGCTTTTTAGGTATTTTCAGTCAATAAAATATTACTGGTCAGGTTTTCAGTAACCGCAAGTGAACCGCAAATAGATATGATGAGCCTTTTAAAAAAGAAACCTTTATGGAGTTGGTGAAAAAACTTGGTTGCGACCGGTTTCTCTAGGCTTCGTCATATTACTACAAAGACAACTATAATATACTATTTCCATTACTTTATGGTTAAGAGTTTTTAATAAGAATGTTTTCTACATTAATAGTTGTAAGTTAAATTCTTCTCTTGGTCCAGATTTACTTTCTGCAATTTTCCTATATAAATGTCGTCGTTATTCATTAGCTTTTTTAGACTACTTTTTATTTAATTTATCTTGCTCTTAAATTTGATGAAGATGATTTGATCTAAAGATGTTTGTCGTCGTTGAATGATTTGTTTGTTTTTTCTGTAATACAACCTTTATCTTTGTGGTTTAGATTAGAGGTGCACTTATTATTTTTTTGACATTTTCATGTCTTAGCTCTGGCGCAAAACCGAAAAAAGTGTTACAAAAAAGCGTACAATAATAATTCACAGCTCGTTAGCAAACATCTTTGCGAAAAAGTAATCACGCATTTGGGTCGCTATGTAGCACAGACACGTATCATGATCAAGATGCGCCAGGAATGCATCGAAGCCCTCTTAAAGTCTCTAAGCGAAGAGCGGAAGTTAGTGGCCAGTCTCTAGAACCAGCAGAAAAGCTTGCGTACGAGTTTGCAACACCACGGGATACATTTTTATGTCTCGTTCTGCGGAACACCGTCCGCTCCTTTTTTCCCGCCTCGATTCTGAAGCCTTGGTTCCATTCGAAATATCTGTCATTGCTAATCCAAAATAAACACTTACCTTTTAACGCCAAGTTCAAGAAGAAAGGAAGGCCATTGAAATCGTCCTAAGTTCTGGAATTTGTTTTAAAATTCAAGTATTTTGGTTTTAATAATCAAATTATTTTAAAAACTACTTCGAGGCGACCCAGATAGAGTTCTTCATTTTCAGATGATACAATTAACTCTCTGTCAGACAATTTTTGTAAGATCTGTATCAAGAGACAGTTTTTTCACAAAATTGTTGTTTAAATCTCTATCAGGGATATTGTGATTGTCCGAAAAATAATTTAACTACCAAATAAGAGACCTAATTGCTAAACTAGCGGCTACACATTACAGTTTAACCATTAAGTTATGATTTTATAAAAAAATTGCCTATACTTTACTCCTTAGAAATGACCGGAGTTAATCGATTAATATGCTTAGTGTATACCTACTGTCCACGAACAGTCATCGCTTTTTCCAATATATTTTTTATACCTATGTTTGGATGAAATATTATGAACAAATATTATATCGTGTAGTTTAATATGGCTATTTTTGAAATCGTTTTCATAATACCTCACCAATGTACCGCATTGGAGTACACAAACCTAAAGTCAAAATAGAAAAAAATCGATTTCTTTCGCCCTCCAAGTCAAAACACTAATATTTAGTATTTTTTTGTTAATATTGCCTATACAAAACTCCTTAAAAACCGACCGCATGCAATCCCCTTATTTTTTTTTATCTTTAACCTTATTTTGGAAGCGAATAATAAAGTTGCTGTGAAAATTTTAACTTCGGCACAGAGCTTTGTATTGTAAACATCTATTAGATTTATTAGATTTATTAGATTTATTAGATTGTTTATACGATTTTTATATGGCTTAAATATATATATATATATATATATATATATATATATATAGATTATACAATGTGTTCAGAATTTCATGTAACACCTGTTGTTTTTTGACGATATACTAAAATTTTGAAAAGGTGACTCGGGTAAAACATTTGTAATTTTTATCATACAACAATAATTTAAAGTTTTTGAATTTTTTTTCAGTCAAAATCTAAATTAAAGAGGGCGTCGCACCGTCCATTTTTAAGGAGTATAATATAGGCAATTTTTTACAAAATCTTAATTTAGAGGTTAAACTGTAATGTGTAAATTGTAATTACACATTACAGTTAAATTATAATTATTTCAATAACTAGGACTCTATTATGGTAGTTAATTTATTTTTTGGACTATCACAGCATCCTTGAAAGCGATTTAAAAATGTTTTTTCATTTCTACATGTTTAAGCAGACTGAAAATAACTCGCTTAATTTTGGTTTTAGAGTTAAAGCACCCATTATAAAATTAAAAGAGAACAATATTCCGGTGGGCAAAACGTTGCGTTTTTTTCATTATTCTAAGTATATCGCTCAATACATAGTTTAGAAATAACAACTATTTTAACATTTTTAAACGACTGTAACTTTTCAAAAAATGAATTTTTTTGAAAAAACAAACGGTCTTGCTCTCCGAAATATTGTTTTATTTTAATTTTATAATGGGTGCTTTTACTCTAAAACCAAAATTAAGCGAGTTATTTTCAGTCTGCTTAAACATGTTTTTTTACCACTGAAAATCACCGGTGCAACGCCCTCTAAATGAGACAACTTTTGAAACTTAAATGGTAATGTAAACATTTAATTTTTTTTTTTTTTTAATATTAAACATAATTTACTGAACATTTTGACTGGTCGATAAGCAGTTTTGAATCATTACTTTTAAAATTATTGGAGTTTAAAATATAGGATGAGCGGAGAAGTGGGCGGTTGATAAAAATAATACTACACTACAACCTTCCTCCTGTGCTAAAATTTAAACTCAGTCAATTTTGATGTAAGAAATAACTTTTTGGATAAATGTTGTTGGTAAATAATAGGCCTAACCATATACAGTGGGGTTTTCACTTGAGAAAATATAATTTTAGTGCGCATGCACCAAATGAAGTAGGTAACAAAAAAAATCGGAAAAATCAAACAACCAGCAGCGGATTTATAGGCAAATTTCTTTGTGTGTGTGTTTTTTTTAAAACGGTTTTTTTATGCGCCATTGGTGTGGCTCATACATTATTAAATTGGTGTTACACTTACCGTTGTATTAATAATAACAATCAACATTACTATCATAATTGTCGGTGTTCGTTATCGGTTGTGGCAAAACACAGCTGGGACGATCCGCATGTATATTGATTTATGATTTTCCTTGTGTGTATAGTGTCATGTAGTTTCGGGCTATCGTTTTGTAGAGGATTTGAACAAAATAAAAATACTAATAAGAATTAGTAAACATAAAAAAGAGAAACAGCTGCATAATTATTATCGTAGAGATAAGTGTTGGTGTGATATAATTCTATAACTGATTGAGAGGTTGTCGGGCAGCGTTGGAAAACATGCCAGTAGTTCAACCGCCTTCTTACCGTTTGAAACGATTCGATTTTTTCGTTTGATAACAATATAATCGCCGAAGACGTTAATAAAAAAAATTGCACGTAAATCAACAGCCGATAATAAACAGAAAAAAAAACCAATTATAATCGTTCGCATTGTTACAAAATGTTATTGTTATTTTTTTTCTAATAGTAAATGGTGATAACAGTTGTTAATAGGTATACTACTGCGGTAACGAGTCGATGTGATGATTCATGTTTGTATTTTTTTTTTTTTTTAAGAATTTATTCAATTTAAATGTAAAACAAAACAGTTAAACAAAAAAAACCCACTAGACGAATTATTAGTTTTGTTTGTTTTTATTTTTTATGTGAAAACAAAACGTTCTTAGAGTGCCATAATTGTATTATTCTATTAATAATATAATTTAACAACATCAGGTAAGCATTTATAAATAGTATTTTAATAAGAATTTATAGTTTATACCGCATCCGGGTACGGCGGTCACTGGATTAAATCCAATATGATATAACGCATAGTGTAATAATATAGTATAATTAAAATATTCGCAAAAAAAAAACCGGTTCTTATTTTATTACCTTTGAGTTGTTGTGTTTACATTAGACGAATTGTATTAAAATTATTATAATATGTACTTACATATAATCGCGAATCAATGAACGTCTGCCCTCATCAAAACTGGACGCTCTCCACGACTGTTTAATATAATAATCATTGATTTTTTTTTTTTATAATATACCTACAGCTATATAATATGCATATATTAATAATTGTCCATGTTTAATACATTTCGAAATGTCCAAAATCATTGTGTGACACGTTAATAGTTGATCAGCCACATGTTTTGTAAAGGATAAATCAAACAATTTGAATACCGGTCAAACTTAACAAAAAATTCAAGTCTATAATATAATATACACATATACAATACGCCTTCGAATTTTATGGTACATACTGTTTTTTTTTATAATAGTTAAAAAATAAGGTACACAAGCGGGAGAATTTATTTATTTTTCCTTTTTAATTTCTTTTTAACTAAGTCTCTTGTAAATAAAATTAAAGGCACGTTAGAAACGGGATTCGAATCAAACTTAATCGCTAGTAACCAATTGTTTTGGGCAATTGATAAATCAATGTGATCATTATGAAAACAAAGAAAGATTTTTTTTTTAAAAACTTCACCACCTACACCTCTGCAACACAACGTAAAGTAAAATAAATTGTTATTTACACAAATACTTATGATAAATTATTTTAAATGTGTACAATTAAAATGTAACACTTTATACAGTGATAATAATACTGTACGACTATTATACGAATAAGTTGTGATTATTATGCACTACATGATAATATGAATTAATCGGATGACAATTAATTAATTGTTTTTGTACTCTTATTATTGCACTATTATGTTATTTATGTGCTTCTACTAATAATTGGTGTGTTCATAATGTGGTCGTTTAAATGTTTGAAAATAATTCTATTGACATTTATACTTTTATTAAGGTTTGTCCTAATGACGTCCACCGGTTATAAATAACTCTGGGCGATTCTGTATCGCAAAGCCTTAAAGTTTTCAATAAATTGGTGGACATTCCTCGTGATTGATTGAGAAACATATACATTTTTATATAATTATTATCTTAAATCGTCATTTTCTCTATTTTTTCCTGCATCTACCAACCTTTATTTGTCAGCAGGGCTTTATATATTTTTTTTTTTTTGGATATTTTCAATACAAGTCTCTAGTTTATCGTGTTGTTACCGAACAGTTGGAACGCAATATTTTACTGCTGCACATACTATTGTGTTAACAAGAAAATTGTGTTATTGGAATAACAAAATTTGTACCTATTTCCAGTATATTATTATTATTATGTATTTTTTTAAATATCGACGAGTATAATATCTAACGTATTCATTTTTTTTACATTGTTTTTGTGTCTTGATTTGTACTAGTTTTTCTTTTGGCTCGTTAGTTTTATTATGTTATTCAAATTTGGAGAAAAAAAACGCCACACGTAACACGTTCTACTGTTGTATAAGTACACATACTTAATTATGCATAATCATTATTGTTTAAGTTATCTACTTATTGGTTTTAATTTATAAAAGTGATTATTTCCTATTTAATTTTTATAATTAATCTTATTAAAATATATTTTTCGTCGCCGATATCTATTGAACAGTGTATGGCTGTATTAAAAAAGACAACCCAAAGTAATGGACAACTAGCTCTAATGTTTGATTTCATTTTTGAACTATTTAATTGAGTTTGTCGCGGGACATCATTAAAACTATTAAAACGGTCCTCAACGTAGATGTATACAAATTAATTTTTACACAAATTAGTATGGTAATGCCAGCAGTTGAAATATAATTGATGATGTATTGTACGTGTATCGGACTTATCTCCATATTATACTGTTATAGTGCACTAATTATAGTGAGATAGTATAATCATTGTTCGAATAGCTATATTATGTAATTAGTAATAATTACTATAAAATACAGTAACACGCAGATGACATAAAACAACCCACCAAACACCAAAACCCCAAAGTCTTAAACTTATATACATTTAGAAATTATATTAACAAAAACTAACTATTCCACGATAGTTTCTGTAAATCCTCTTATAAATTGATATGTCACCTTAAAGAGAACAATGGTTTATCGTTAAATTTGTACCAACTTACTTAAACAAACAATTATTTAATTAGGGGGGAAAATACATAATATTGTAAAAAAAGTTGGGTTTTTTAAAAAGATTATATTTTTTTCATTATAAAATTGTTTTGTTCCTTTGCAAAATTTGTAAATTTTGCAGGATATAGCGTACGGTAATTGATGGGGCGAGTGGATATAGGTGTAAGGTAAAATAATTTTAAAGGGGTTATGATTATAATGTATGGAGAGAAACAGGACATAATATGTATGACTTTGGCCGTTTTCCATTTTAATTTTCAAAAGTCGACAAAGCTCTAGAGAGTATTTTAAAAGATAACAAAAATCGAACATAGTTTAATATTTCAAATAGCATACCCAAAAATTTGTACAAAAAGAGAACCTACAAAATTGCAATAATTTTTAAGAGAAAACTGATGCGTGTGGCGTCATAAAAGAATCATCCGATATTATATTGACTGAGATGTTAGCTCCAGAAATGTTTTCAACAGGTCTGTTAACACATTTTTTTTAATGTTAAAAAATCCAAATTTGTTTTGAACTTCGAAATTTATAAAATTTTATTTTATATTATATTGTAATAATTTTTAAGACGTCAGTTTGAAAATGTCGTTGAACAGTTTGACCAATCGATAAAACGCGGTCGTTCCAATATTAAGTTGTATCTAATTATTATTGCATTCACAAAATAGCACACCTATCAGATTATGCAATACCTAGTATGAAACACGAGCTCGATTAAGCCAATCACGTGAACAATCGATTGATTGTAAAAAAAAAAAAAATAGCAAATTTATACACCTTATATGTGTGTGCGTGTGTGGATAGACTAATTCCTGGCTTTTATGTTAAATAATTACAGGAAATACAATTAAAAAAATTTTAAGAACAGCGATAGTTTGGCTGTAGTAAATTTGTTTTACCGCCAACGCGTTTAAGTCGTTATACCTAATTAGTGGTTTAATTACAAATTTGACCTTTACACTATCATCTTTGCATCATCTTATTGAGGATGACCGGATTGTCTTTATAAGATTCTAGGAAAACCAGTAGACAACAATCGGTTACTTTCATTTTGGTTTTTTTTTCGTTTAATATTACATATGTATAAACAATAGATACATATAGTTTTCTGAATTATTAATATTTTAAAATATAATCTCCGCACAAATTCAACATAATATTACTATCGAAAATTTAGATTGTAAATCGATAAAACTATATATACAGCACGTGACACGAAATCACTTGTCTACTCGACGAATATTAGGTTTGGTTACTGTGTTACTAGGTGACACTCATGAATTATTTTAGCTAATATTTTGCTCTACACTTTTCAACGAATTGGCACGTTACTATTGAATTCATAACAATATCTTGCGCTATTATTGGTTAGTGCAGCCTAATAGGTTTTTTTTTCTGTACCTAGGAGAATTTTTTTTTCTTAAACAATTGAAGTTTGACACACAGGAAGGCGATATAGTTCTATACATAATATTACAATTTAAAGCCAGTACAATGTACACAACATTGCAACCATGGGAAAATGTTCAAGGGCAAAAATTAATAAGAAAATAAATTGAAAATTCAAGGTCGTTACGTTACAATACATTGTCGGTTTTAATAATTTAACTACCTACTTTTCGTCTAGTTTTATAAAATTATTTTTACTAAAACCACAAAAATTCATTGAAATAATAACAATAGGCTTTTTGTTGTGTAGGATTACCGTTTTTCTTTTTAATTTTTATTCAAGATTTCCATCAAACTGTTTTACTGTTATATGATTATAATATCATTTTTTTTGTTTTGTAATCTGTGCGTTTTTATGAATAGAATTTTGAATTTACACATTTTATTGTACGAAAACGGATGGAAAAGGTGTGTTAGAAAATATATTTTTAACTTAAAATGAAATATAATTTAGGTTAATACATAAATTAAAAAAATATCATTAAAAATGGTCAAGTGCCAATTACTTTATATTTTTGTCGGGCTATGTAGAAATCGTCATAGAGTTAATTAGCATAACGAGTAGGTAACGAGGAAAAAAATATATAGTATTGTTTTTCAAAATCTCATATCTAGCTTATGATAAAGTGTGTTAATAATATTACATTTTTTTGGGTAACAATTACTATTTATTGTACAACTATTATAACTATTCTTTAAACAATTGCCTAATATGTGCTCAGCAGGATTTTTATGTAAATTGTCTACATCACACGGGTAGAAGAGGGATTATTAAATAGAATTTTTTTACAAGAAAGTCGTTACACGTGTAAACAGAGCGCAAGACGAACAAGTCATAATATCAATCTTTTAAATGGGCAAGACGACCTCGCGTGTTGTGTCCGCGTTGAAAACTAAAAATGTATGTATTATTGTTTGGAAAACGTCGAGATTGAGTTGTTACACTCAATTAGTTTGCAGCTGTCAGCAAAGGGCGGTTCTTGTTGTATTTTAACTTTAAAAATGAAAACGTTTCATCACAACAATCATATATTATTAAGATATTAAAGAAAAAACAAATTCGATTACTTACATAATTAAAAAAAAAACAAAATGTTAAAATTCGTCGACTAATACTCAACGTGTGAGAGGTTGCTTTTAAGGGGTTCTGTATAGGCAATTTATCGCCCAAAAATTAAATTATTATAAGCTAACATTTTTGTGTGTCTTAAGGGTAGTCGTTTATTTTGTTTGGGCGTTTTTGTAAGCTAGAAAATTTGGCAGCATGCAATACGCTTCAAAGCTAAATATGTTTTTTTTGGAAAACGGTTAGTTGTATGCACAATTAATACATTAATACGCCGATAATACATTAGATAACATTAGAATTTGTCAAACGTTCCAGTGCTAGGAGATAAAAAATTAGTTTTATAATAATTTTAGTTGTATTTTATGCGCATTAACTGAAACAATTTAAGTACATTTCCAAGCGATTATAAATAACTATTTTTCAACATGCAACATTTTTTCCCGTTTACGTGTGAAGTACAAGTGACGTTATAAAACTAAATTTTTAAAACATTTTTTTGTTTGGAGATATCTGTTTTTTATACTTAAGTACTTTATTTGTATTAATCTTAGAGTCAGTATTTGGATAGTGATAAGTTAAGTTTTCCTGTTATTTTCCAGACAAAGCCACTGACAATTAATTTCGCTTTTACGTTAGACGGGTAAATGACTAAACCTTGAATTATTATTATTTAATGACACCACTTTTATATTGTGCTTAACTACGTCAATCGATTCTAAATCTCTTACTACTGTGCACACACTTAAAATAAATTCTAAGAAACGCGTACATGCGCACAAGTCGTTACGAACGTCAATACCTACCTACAGTGTTTGTTGAATGATAAGAAGATAATGATACAAATAGTTATTGGTTAACGATGGGTTTTGTACAAGTCACTTGCAGAGTTATCGACAAAAATACTGTTCAATAGGCGTTTGAATTGTATTTATTGAAATTGCATTTTATTGTATATTTTCGAATACTTGCACTACTGTGCTGTGCTTATCGCGCATAATGATTAATTCAAACAAGATAATATACCATCACTTAAGTAGTTATAAATATTAGATTGATTAATCAATACTGTAAAAGTATTATCACGCCCATTTCATCTATTAACTGTCCCGATATACTACTGCCCAACGCCCCTAAAAATGCCAAGCCAAGTATAATGAGGTTATTGAAAGTCACATGAAAATCTTCCATTTAGCCCAACTGGTGTTCTCTTATCGGACAAAACACCATTTAAATGTAAACTTTGTCATCAGAATGTTGACCACCTATGTACCTAGTTTCTATTACTAGGGCTAAATTGATTTTCCCAACAAAATACATTTATACAAAATAAATTTGTATCATTTATTGTACGCAAATTAAGTATAATCCTTTAATCAGGTATGTGTTAAAAATCTACATAATCAGATATGTGGGATTTTTACATTATCTTAGTAATAATTCAAGGGTTTTTTTTTAATAAAAATAGGAAACCTACAAACATTGGTTAAACTTGCTACCACCCCTTCAAGTTAATTGTCAAGTAGAGAAACCAGTAAACAATTCTTATCTTCCTTAAATTTTCAATATTAGAGCAGTAACAAGTGTGGATAAGTAATTATGGGTAAAATTTGTATTAGCAAAAAAAGTGGGAAATTTTTAAGAAAAATTGATTGGGTTGGATGATGTTTGTATAAAACTATTAAAGGTTATCTCAAAATTGTATATATTCTAATGTGTAAATAAAAAAAAACGGACTACCACCTTAGTGATTAGATTAGATACAAACACAAATGATAGTTGCTAAGATAGACGTTGGAGAACAAAATAATTGTTTTCAATTCAGGGTTTTAAGCTAAATCAAAATTAATTGTTTTTTAAAATAAAATTAATCCAAGTGAAAATTCAAAATTGTTCTATTCTTATTGTGCACAAAATGGTATAGTTTAGTCACCAATGTGCTTTAAAGTTGCATATATCATAAATAAAAAGTTGAAACATATACATACAAATGTGTTTTATAATCATTTTCAAAATAAACTTTCCGAAAATGAAAAGTCTACATGTTCTTCCAACTTGGCAGACTGATTTTAGTCCTTCTGATTGAATGACTATAGCTACCATCTGATCTATCTGTGTCTATGTGTACTCAGGTTTTATATTATATGGTAAATTCACTATAAAGTGTCATTTATAGAATTGGCAGATAGTCCACATTAATAAATTTCTATACGAATCGATTTTTATCAGTAACACACAATGATACACTTTATAAGTGCATCATAATTTATCATAAATGATTAACGACCGGTTGTTATGTTAATTCCTAGTTTTGGTTTAATTTTATCAGTGGTTATTTATAGTTATGCGAATTGATAATTGTATTATTATTATTATTATTATTACTAGGTATTGTAAATATATTACATTGTATGCAATGTGTGCGGATTATTTTTACCGTGTATTTACTTTATCGTTTCCTTTGCAAAGAAGTGTTATAAGCAAATCCGCGATCCGTTAAGTGTAAACAACGATGATGATGTGGGAATTTGTACAACAATAGAATATTATTGAACTGTTTCTAATCAAATCTATCAATATTGTGTACTATACACTTATGCCGGGTTGCGCCAAAATGTTTACACAGGGATAAACTCGTTTAACTGGGGTTAAAGTTAATTCTGTTGCATAAACCATGTTTGAAATTTTACAACTTGTTGTTAAAAATGTTATCCGTGATAAAACATTGATAACAAAATTTATCATCGATTAGACCCTGTATGATAACGATAATGTTAACTCATACTGCTGATACCATATTTTATTCGATAACCAGTATACTGGTAATAACCTGAATATAAAAAAAAAGCGATTGAGAAACACGTCATGTTTATTTAACAAAAGTTAGTTTATTACGGTGGTAAATAATTTACCTGTAGATAACGACAAGTTTGGTGTAACCAGGCATTAATATTAGTATGTAATTTCTGTATAGGTGTTCCGTTGGATTTGAACGATGCAAACCGTAATTCACACAGAACACAATGACAATTCGTCGTTCAACGATTATGAGGAATCGATTATGTTCGACGAAGACGATCCCGATTTCGTACCAAACGACGAAACCGAGTACAGCTGTCAGAGTATGTACAGATGTTTACAAAAAGGTATGTGAAAAACGTTTATTTTTCTCATAGAAAATCGCATGCAGTAATAACCGTGTAGCACAATAATAATAATGGAAAACTTTTTGGGTCATACAAACAGAACAAAAAAAAAATTGAGAACTTTTTCATACATGGCTTGGTTCTTTAAATTCGCCCCACTCAACCAATTGTATGACTGGTGTTCTCTTGAGAATCATAAAATAGAAAATTTGAAATATGATATTATCGAAAAAGGGACGTTTTAAATTTATTAGCGTTGCTCGTAATTATTTTAGAACGTTTATTAACCCTTCAATGCGCGAATTTTTAAATTGAAAAAAAAAAATGTTCCCTGTGTATTTAGAGTCGTAGATTACGAAAAAAATACTTAAAAAATTCTCACTCCAATATTTTCCTGGAAAATGAAAAATTTTCAAATTATTGCCTATTTGCAACATTGCGCATAAAAATGTCACTATATTCGATAAAACAATCAACCTTTATTGTTTCTTTTATATTACAAGTCTTATTTATTTATTACAAACCAAAACAATTTTTTTTTTATTACATTTGCAAATATTAATAAACTTATAATACTTTTAAATTAAGAGAAACCGGGAAAAATATTGATTAGGTTTTACTCATTTTTAAACAACAGCAGCGACTGATAACGGAACTATCAGCTGATCTGACATATTTTTTAATATCAAAAACTTCTCGATTTATCCGCTAGTTAGCACTAGTAAGATGAAAAATAACAAATTAAATAAAGAAAAAGGAAAAAAAGATTGCTGCAAATAAGCAACATGGCGCATTGAAGGGTTAAGATGATTTCAATTTTGTCAAAAAAATTGCCAATACGAAGTGACTTATAATAACGAACGAGACGTATTATTATTATTATTATAATATCGTGTTAACAAATATATTGCTTAATATTTATTTACATATATTTTAAACACGTTAATTTGCATCTTCTAATATTAAACATTTATGTTACTGGCACGAAATTAAAACCCAACACAAAATTAACATAAGCAATTCTTAAGCCTATTAATTTGACCTTGGTTATTGTTCTGATTCGAGAAATCGTTAAAATCCAGAAATGTTATTTCCTGGCTAGAAGAAGGCATTTTTTTTTTCCATTTTTTAATTTATTAATTAATATAATTATGTGACACACACGGTGTATTCAGCTTGTATTTTGGGAATATCAATAGACGAACAAAGTACTAAAGTTTTAGTATGATTATTATTATGAAAAGACATGATTTTCGAAGTCCTGAAAATAATACACATAATATGAACAAACAACAATTTTATTTTTAAATTGAACAGCTTATAATGCTTGTTATAAGCAATTATAATATTGTCGTCATACATGTACTTATTAAGTACGTGACTTTAAGCCAGTAGAATAATTCCATAAGTCGCTTAACTGTGATATTATTTTCGGTTATGCTAACTATCTCGTACGATGACTGAAAACTAATGTAAACCTTTTCTTGACGTCACATTTAATTTTGCCAACTCGTTTGTTGGTTCACTTCGGTTGTGATTATTTTCAATTATATTTTCTCTTTTTTTTTTTTAGTGGTAAACAGACAGTCGTCACTGACTTCGTCATTAAAAGAGCTATTTAATTGACCAAGTCACGTTGAATTCGGTAACAGTTACATTGTACACTTAAACTATGTGTCTGTCGATTATTTAAGTAGGTACTAGAAATATTTTTTAATAGTAGTTTAATAAAATATATTGAATAGCCAAAACACCACCTCTAAATAATCGGTACCTACTTAATTAAAATATAAAAAAGGATTATCGACAATTTAACGGGTTCGAATAAGACGTATAAGTACGATTGATGAGGACAAACAGCCAGGGAACTGATAAGAGATAAGATAGTGATAAGAAAAATTATTGATAACGGGAAGCTAAAATTTGAAAAGGCCGTTTGGATAGTCGTAAATTTGACAACAAGAACGATAGAAATACCTACATCTTAATTTAATCATCTTCTGCTGACCTAATGTCAAAAATATTTGTATTTTTCGGCGTGTAACGTCGGAGATTTTTGTTTTTGTTTCTTTGAAAAATAATAATTGTCGTTAATGGCCGCAGCCACGATCTTAACACAGTAACAAACAAAAATATTAATTTACCACCTAGGGAAAATCGACAACAATACCATCATACCGTTGGTCTTTCCTAATTGACCGGTATTAAGACGTATTAACTAGCCCGTATTATTATATCTGATCACTTAGCTTCGATGACAGAGTACTATATTTATCTCGGCAAATAATACAGATAATACAATTATTACCCAGTCGCGTGAGACCATCGGCTGTTATAAATGCACTAAACAGGCTGTACGATTTCTGGTCGAGTATACATTTTATATCATTTTAAAATCGCATCAGTTCTAAATTTATTTATTGCTAATTGAACCCAAGGTAACCTTCCAATAAAACTAATCGTGATATAAAATAATTGTTCGCTCGTGTACGCACAATAGTATAATAATAATATGTAACTAAACGTCTGCCGCAATAATAAAAGGTCATGTTACTGTACACATTGTACGACACACACGGTGTTAAAAACAGTTATTTAAAAATAACATTTAACAAGCGTTATCTATGGTTTTATGTTTATACTTTATTTAGTTATATAATTAATAATTGTGTTGCAAAAATAAAAATAGATAGTCTTCGATAATATGTGCTATTTAGCGAATTGTGATGTAATTGCTAATCGTGAATATTGTAAACGCTGATATCGACAATTATAGTTCTTTTCAATTACAATAATTACAGTTGATATTATTTTTGTAGCATACATTTCTCATTTAGAGCACAACAAATTAAACAAAACAGCCAGTATGGGGGGGATGTCGATGGAGTGGGATGGTAAATGACTGACAATAAGGTTCGAAATATATATGACATATAAAATATAATATAGTATACTTTATTTTTAAAACAATTATTATGTTTAATTATTTTCTTTGAAATAATAATAATTTGAAAATATTGTAACGAATTCTATATTATGTAAGAGAAAAAACATTTGTGGGAATTTTCATAGTAAAGAAATTTTAATTAGTGGAAATAACGACTGATTATAATTTTTTTTTTAATAAAATATATAACAATGGTAATTTATTCGTCCGTTACAAAAAGCTGTACAGCAATCCGAAAGACAAAAACAATGAAATGCTATGTGAAGTTTTATGACGTGATCGACGACGGGAGGGATCAAAACTCAATGAATATGCAAACGGAAGAGTTGTTAAGCCAAGGTTATTAGGTGTATTAAATATACTTACTGTAAGTGATGTATAATGAATGTGAAATATTAATAAAAATGTAGGGCTCCTCTATACTACTCTATGAGCTGTCTACATTGATTATTATGGTTTTAGTGACAAGATACAGTGTGACCATCTCTGATACAAATCATGATAAAAACGAAACACATTTGTACTAAATGTTTTATATTTGCATTAATTTATTTAAGGGGAGGAATGAACTCTATACATTTTTTTACCCGTTGGACATTAATGTGTATACATTTGGGAACGACTGTTGATCTATTATAGACTTGCTATACTCGAAGGAATCGGTTCAGCGGTTTAGATAAGATATCCAAACACAAGAAATAAAATTAAAAAAGTATTTATGTTAAATATATATATATATATATATGTTCAATTCGAGCAGTGAACCGATCAGACATGCATTGTCCATTAGGAGGTCAGACATAAGAATTATAGATTGAATGAATTAAAGCACAATAACGATTGCTTGGTCTACTTAAGTGCATGCGACGCACAAGGATGAAGGCTGTACGAAGAGATAATTTAAGCCATATAATATCGTACCCTATATGTGCACGTCCATTAAAGATTTGATGAACCTCTGAACTTTGAGTTGACCATTCTTCATTGGTTTATTAAACATTATTGCACCGTTTCAATTGTAAAGATTGTCTGCTATTATAACCCTTAAAACATTAACGGACCTTTTCCAGACCACCAATCCAACCCGCTGGACCTAATAATATTACCTACTTGTAAAAGTAATAATTCAAAATAGGATATTCATTAAAAGAAGAAAGATTGTAACAAATTCAAAATAATGTTGTGTTTAAAATAACAAATGGTCGTTGTGAATTTTACAAACTAAATTCATGTTTTGAAATTCATCTAAAATGAAATCTTCATAATAATTGCATTAAATATTACTAGTGAATTACTAATACTAATAACACAGTAAATCACAATTACAAGGGAAACAAGGAAAAACTACCGTCCGCGACAATCGACATTGAACTTGTGAAAATTATTTTTTTAATAACAGTTTGCTTGTGTTCACATAAGTTTTGATACGTTAATGTTAAAAAACTATGAATACGCAAAATAATCATTTAAGTAATAATTAGTGCCTAGCTCGTAAATACTTGCGTAATACACATAACGCATACAATTGTTTTAGACTAATTTCTTTGTTTTATAATGACTATATAATAAAGCATGGTACTTTCTGGTTTTGGACGGTCGTAATTTTCGGTTGTACTATTACTAATTAATTTTGGATTTAATAAAAAACTAGAATTTTGTTTTTTGAATAATGTATTTCGCGTAAAACTTGAATTATAAATTACAACAAGCTTTTAAAAACCGACACCAGTATTTAAAACAAGTATATTTTATTACTTATTATTTACCCACTATTTTCTATTGACTTTGAGTGGAATAATTTTTTATTAAATACAGTAATTAAAATGATTTAAAAAAAAAAATCTAATAATCGTTTTAATAGTTTATTACCCATATGTATATGTATTATTGCTAATACTTATGAGAGCCTATTCCTTGTACTATTTAAATAATGTCTTGTTATACTTAAAACTAATCCAAACATATTTCGACGTATCAATTACGTAGTTAGGGCAACACTTGACTTGGTTAGGTTAATTATAACTTTTATAACCAGAGAAATAATTTTTTTTTT